TTGAGGAGTCGCCATACTGATTTCCAAAGTGGCTGTACAAGTTGGCACTCCCACCAGCAGTGGAGGAGTGTTCCCCTTTCTCCACATCCTTTCCAGCATAAACTGTCATTGGTGTTTTTGATTTTAGCCATTCTGACAGGAGTAAGATGGTATCTCAGCGTTGTTTTGATTTGCATTTCCCCGATGGCTAAGGATGTTGAACACTTTGTGTCTTTCAGCCATTTTAGATTCCTTTATTGAGAATTGTCTATTTAGTTCTGTACCCCATTTTTTAATTGGATTGTTTGGTGTTTTGAAGAATAGCTTCTTGAGTTCTTTGTATATTTTGGAGATCAGCCCTCTGTCAGATGTGGAGTTGGTGAATATCTTTTCACATTCTGTGGGCTGTTGTTTTGTCTTACTGACTGTGTCCTTTGCCTCACAGAAGCTTCTCAGTTTCACTCTCTGAAACTATAAGCTCAAAATTAAACACTTTCTTTTATAGGTTGCCTTCATCATGGTGTTTTGTCACAATACAAAAGTAACTAAGACTTGGTACTATGGAGTAGGCTATTGTGACAGGCTGGCCATGATGGTTGTGTGTGTGTGTGTGTGCGCGCCTGCGCAAGTATGTGTGCGCACATGTGTGCGTGGTGTTTTGAGGAACTTGGAAGACTGTGGGACTTTATACTAAGCAAATAATTGAACTTTGTTAGATGGGGCTCAATGGACCATCCCAGTAGGTGCTTGGAGGACAAATAGTGCTGAGATCAATGTGGACCATGGAGTCTCAGCTCAAGAGGTTTCAGAGGGGAACAATATTAACAACCAGGCTAGAGACCATTCTAATGATATTTGGCCAAGAACGTGGCTGCTTTTTACCCTAGTCCTAAGAACCTGTCTGAGGCTAAACTGAAGAGTGTTCCACTCATTTTGTTGGTGATCTCAAGACAGTCTTATATTGACTCTGTTGCATGGTTAGTGATCAGTCTTATGCAGGTCTTGAAAAAAAAAAAGAGCAAGTGAGGCAAAAAAGAAATGCAAAATTTATAGTTTACACAGAAGGTGTGGCTTTGTTAAAGGTGTGTCACTGGGGGAAGGCTTTGAGGTTTCAAAAGCCCAGGCCATTCCCAGTGAGCTATCTGTGTCTTATGCTGTGGATCAATGTGTAAACTCTTAGCTACTGCTCCAGAGCCATGACTGCCTGCCTCCATGTTTCCCTCATGATGGTCATGGACTCTAACCCATTGCAGTTGTGACATCCAAACTAAACACTTTCTTTTATAGGTTGCCTTGGTCATGATGTCTTTTCATGACAATAGAAAAGTAATTAAGATTATGTTTTCAAAATTTCCGAGTTTTGTCATTAAGTCATTTATTTGTGCTATAATTTTGGCACTTAGAGCTCTAACTTTTCCCCATGATTTAATTTTTTAATTTTTTGATTTGTCTTGGACCTATTCATTATTCAGTCATGAGTTGTTAAATCTCCATGAGTTTGTGCACTTACTAGTGATTTGTCTGCTGTCAATTTTGTTTTATTACATAATGATCAGATGGGATATGCAGTTAGTTCAATCTTCCTGAATTTGGTTAAGTTTTGTTTTGTGTTCCAGGTTGTGTTCTATTTTAGAGTAGCTTATATGTGCCGCTGAGTAGAATGTATATTCTTTGGAGTTTGGATGGAATATTCTGTAGGAATCTTAAGACCATTTGATGTATGATAGTATTTAATTATGATGTTTCTTTGCTTACTCTTTGTCCAGATGACTTTATTGTAGAAAGTGCGTATTGAGATCATGATGGGGGGAGTATATGTTTATCTTACTGGTTGATAAATAAAGCACTGTTGGCCAATAGGGAAGCAAGTTAGGTGGGACTAGGAGAGGAGGAGGATTCTGGGAAATATAGTAAAGAGGAGAGTCACCATGTGATCCCAGGAAGAGAGGATGAATAAGGCTGGCGTCCTTGGTAAGTTAAGTCCTTATAAAAATATATAAATTAGTAGATATGGTTGATAATTAAGACTGAAGTAGCGGGCTGGAGAGATGGCTCAGAGGTTAAGAGCACTGACTGCTCTTCAAGAGGTCCTGAGTTCAATTCCCAGCAACCACATGGTGGCTCACAACCATCCGTTATGAGATCTGGTGCCCTCTTCTGGTGTGCAGATATACATGGAAGCAGAATGTTGTATACATAATAAATAAAATCTTAAAAAAAAAGATTGAGCTAGCAAATAAGAAATCCTAGCCATTGGCCAGCAGCATTATAACTAATATAAGACTCTGTGTGTTATTTAGGGGCCCTAAAGCGGCAACGGAACCCAGGCAGCTGGCGGAAAGTTATAGTTATCAGATCACCTACTATTTATGGTTTGATGTTAATCTGTGTCTTTAATTGTAGTACAGTTTATGAAATTGGACTCACCAGAGTTTGGCACATATATATTTGGGATAATGTCTTCTTGGTTAATTGTTCCCTTAATTGGAATGGAGTGTCATTCTTTCTCTTCTGACTAGCGCTAATTAGAAGTCTATTTTCTCAGATATTAGGATAGCAATGTCTGCTTGTTTCCTTATCCCATTTGATTGGAATACCACTCTCTCTTCCTGTTCCTTTTTGGAAAGGATCTCATAGTTCAGGCTGGTCTTGAACTCATCATACTCCTGCCTCCATCTTTCAAGTGTTGAGAATACAGACATTCACTATCCTAGCCAGCTATATTTTTCTTTTAAATGTTTATACCTTATTTCCTTTTCTTTACTACACTAAGACTCCAACAACAATGGAAATGGAATTGAGAGTGGGCCTATTTGTGTCATTTCTGTATTTAAATACATTCTTAAGAGATTACTTTTAGAGAATACTCTTTAAGAATATGGACTATAGACAACCTTTAGCTCTGGTTGCCACAAACAACAATTTGAAAATTGGTTAAATTTTTTGTTTGATTAGACAGGATTTTAGAGACTTTGTTAAATCTGTGGAGACATTCCAGGTTACCTCATAGGGAAGGAAACACTTTCCTGTGGTTGTTCAGGTCCAGGTTCCACTGCATCAGCCCAGGGCATGGTACACATCACATCACAGGCCTTAATGCCTCAATCTTCTATGCTTGCTCACTGTTCTCGCCAACATTCCATTTTTGCTTTTAAACCCGGGAGACTTCCCTTCCTTCTCTTTACACTCTCCTCGTTTCTCATTTTGAAACACTTACGGGGGAGGGGTGTGCACATGTTCCCAAAGTCAAAGGACAAGTTGAAGACTTGAACTTCTCCCTCCCAGGACCCCAGGAATCAAACTCAGGTTGTCAGGCTTTGGTAGCAGAAGCCTTTACCCACTTAGCCTGCCCTGATATCTTTTTGAGAAATTTCCATGTAAACTCAAACTCAAAAGTTAGACAACATTTGACTTACCAATGAGGATGAGGATAATCCATATCCAATTTATAGGCCTTAGGTTGGACTTTTTTTAACCTTATGAAATTTATATTTACCTACATGTTTGCCATTTTACTTACCATTCCTTTTTGCATTGCAGCCTTTAGGGTTTGTGGATCCTCCTTTAAAATATCTTCCTTCAGAGACATTTTCTCAACAGTAAATATGTCCATGTTTAGTTATATGTAAATATCTGTATATGGCCCCCAAGTAAAAAATTCAGGTTAACAATGATTTTCAATGCTGTATTTGCCTTCTGCCTTCCATTGTTGTTGAAATTCTTTGTTAGCAAGCAGTTCTGTCTGAATCCTGTCATGATCTCCCCTTTGTCTTTGGCTGTCCCAATGATATGCATGTAGCTTTACTTATCCAATCTAGACCTAAGTGATGTTAGGTTTTCTGATCTATGGACCATGTTTCTTAAAAATTTGGAAAACTCAAAAATCTTTTCTCAAACACTGCCTTTCCCTTGCACTGCCCCAATTGGAACTTTCTATCTTAAAATTTGTATACTATAAATCTCTTTGATTCACCTTTTCAGGTTAGTTGATTTCTATTTGTGCTGTTATATATTTCCCTGTCTCTTAGATACAACTGGGTATGTATCTCCCAGTTCACTTATTTCTCTCTTCAGTAGCATCAAATCTAGTATTTAACTCTCAATTGACTGTTTCATCGATTTCTCATTGTCATTTATTACACTTTTTCTCCTTCAATGATGTCCATTCCTATTTCTATTTATTACTAATTTTTTTAACACTTTAGACATAGCTATTATAATAGTGACCATAGGCAGGAGAATAAGGGACTACTCTAGAAAACTCTTACCCCTGACCCTGTTAGAAAGACTGGCTCACATGACAAAGGAGCTAGCTCTCTGAAGGCAGCAAGTTTGCCACATATGTTTAGTGAGAACAGAGGCTAGTGTTAAAATGAAGATTAAGGGTTAATACAGAAAAGCCTGGACACTAAGATGAAGAGAACTTTATGGGTGGATATGAGATAACCAAGCTAAATAGATAAAAGAAGGGACAGGGATCTAAGTCAGTGACAGTCAGTGACAGCAGGTAGGCTGCCACTTCCAAAGTCCTTGAGGAATACTATTGTTCTTTCACGTATTCTTGCTTCTAATGAAGCTAAATTACAAGTGTAGATAGATGGCTTCTCCTAACAAAATTCCACCTAGGTGGTTGTGATACTTATCTGCCGTGGTACAGCTACAAGTTGTTCATGTCAGCAGTACTTGAGACACCTGCAAAGTCTTAAGGTAGCAAGACCAGCTAATGACTAATAGAATCAAGGTCAGTAACAAAACTGGAGCCATGGAGTGACATACAGGGTTTTTTTTTACCACCCTTAGCTGAGTGGGTAGCCCTGTCCTGAAATTTGCCCTGTAGACCAGGCTGACCTTGATTTGCCTGCCTCTGCTTCCTCTGAGTGCTGGGATTAAAGGCATGTATTACCATGCCCAGCCCTCTGAAATAATTAATAAAGGCTGTGCCTTTAATTTTCATTTGCAAGAGACAATGAACTCAGAGTCACTGCCTCAAGGCCAATCTTTAATGATTCTGAGTGTCTAGCCTTTTAGGATGCTGGGTAAATCCCAACTGGGTGAAAAGGTTCCCCTCACTGTGGTGATATATTAAGGCTTGTCTGAGGGTTCAGAATGCAAAGCTAGCCACAAGCCATAGAGGTTAGGCAGTGGTGATACACACCTTTAATCCCAGCAGCCAGGCAGTGGTGGCACATTCCTTTAATCCCAGGACTCAGGAGACAGGCAGATGGATCTCTGTTAGTTTAAGGTCACACTGAGCTACATGAAATTGATCCAGTCTAAAAGAGAAACAGCTCACACAAAGGTGATCTCAGCACTTGGGATCACACATCTTTAATCCCAGAACTTTCGGTATATAAGATAATCAATCTGAGACATTTTGGTCTCCAGCCACTTTGAGGGCAGGATGACCTCAGCCTGGGTACAGGTAAGAGCTACTGATTTGGGTGCTTTGCTTCTCTGATCTTTTGTCTCTGGGTTTTTATTTTTTGTATTAAACCTCACTTTCAAAAAACTCTGCAATAGTAGTAAGAATGACACACACATCAGCTTTTAATATACTTTATTATTTAAAACTTTATGTATCCTTATAATTGGTACCACTGGTTAAGCTGATCTGTATATTAGTCAATCAGGTTACTATAATAAAATGTCAGAGATCGGGTGGCTAAACCAACAGATACTTATTCTAATACTTCTGAAGATTGGTTTCTGATTAAGGTTTGCTTCCAGGATCAGTGATACCACTGTCTGTTGTCTTATTAGACTAGGATGCCACCCTTTAAGCCTTACTTTACTTTAGTGACCCCCCATAAAGACTTTATTTGCATGCAGTCACTTTGAGGGTAGAACTTTCTAGCAGTGGCACACAATTTTAATCCAGGCACTTGAGAGGGAGAGGCAGGTGGATCTCTGAGTTGGAGGCCAGCCTGGGCTGTTACACAGACACACCCTGTTTCAAAATACCAAAACCAAAAAGAAAACCATCATAGCACTTCTGAATCTGACACACATGCCATCCTTGAAGAGGGATGTTCTAGATGTTTGTTATTCTTGCTCATGGTGACTTACCTTCCTGTGGCTTTGTAAACCCTTGTATGTTTGGCTTAATTTCTATCAGTCCTGTGGTTAGCTAAACTCACCCACTCAAGACCCCTTACTGGTGTCAAAAAGGATTTGACTTTAAGCAAAACTAGAAGGCTTGGGGCTGGAGAGATGGCTCAGAGGTTAAGAGCACTAGCTGCTCTTCCAGAGGACCTGAGTTCAATTCCCAGCAGCCACAACCACCATAATATAATCGGATGCCCTCTTCTGGCATGCAGGCAGAGCACTCATACATAAAATATAAATTAAACCAGTAGGCTCAGCTTCCATAGCAGGTCATCAATACAGGCAAGTTGATGACCGACCACCAAGCAACCCTGCTAAGTTATCCCCACCACATTTCTGGCAATAGAAACAAAGATCCAAATATAATGTTGCAATATTTTTTATCTAAAATGTAAGCTGGGCAGGAAGAAGAATGCAGGGTTCTGAACTGGCCGAAAAGTTCATCACATTTTATGTTCTAGTCATTCCAAGTAAACCTTGGGACCTGGGCTGAGTTAAAGGAAACATTGGCCAGCTCTACGGTCCCACATTGAACAGATTTAAGACTGGTAACTGGTATCATTTTGTCATTCACAGGCTGTCCAGGGCACAGGCCTGGCCTTCATCGTCTACACTGAGGCCATTAAAAACATGGACGTGTCCCAGCTGTGGTCAGTGCTCTACTTCTTCATGCTACTGACACTGGGTATGGGAAGCATGGTAGGAACAGGAACGGCCATCCTCACCCCTCTGACTGACAGCAAGGTCATCTCCAGCTACCTTCCCAAGGAGGCCATTTCAGGTCAGAACACCCGGCAGTGGAGGAAGGGCACGGGTGGGTGGGGAAACGCAAGGCAAGCAGTGGAAGGTTTAATTAGGAGCCCCGTGCTTCTAAGGCAACTCCAGAAGGACTATAGGAGTGAAGATGATACTCAGCCCTGGGAACTGAACTAAGAACTCACTCTACATCCCAGGGAAATGAGGCAGTCAACCAACCCTTGGGAAAGTGACAGCTGCCCAGCCTGCACTCAAAGGGTAACTGTTCATTTCCCACGGAGACACATGACCTGGTCCCATACCAGGAGGAGCTCCCTCTGCATCCTCCCCAAGCAACAAGCACCCAGCCAGAACACCGTGCTCTCATCTCTAATGCTACTAGTTTGTCTCTGAAAGTCATTGGAAAGGATAATCTGGGCTTGCTGTTGGCACTCAAACCCTGTCAGTGAGCTGCACTATGCTGCTGCTAGCAGCAGTTGTCAGTCCCTGATCCTGTCTGATATGTCACTGTAAGAGCACCTACATACTTCTTCATGCATTTCAACTGTGAGGCTGTTAGCAAGGGAACTAGCTTTGCCCATGATGGCTACTCATTCACTTCACTATATCATCCTACCCAACCAGGGGTCAGGAGGACTCTGTAGCCAGCCACCTCTACCTCTGATAATTCCATAACTCCATACCCAGGAAGGGTAAAACAAGGCTCCAACTAGTTTTCATGTTCTGACCACCCACTGGAAGGGATACCCTTTACTCAACACTTGGCCTCTGTAGACCTGAACTGACATTCCCTGAAGACCAGCTTCTACAGCTCATGTGGGCGAACCTACCCTCCAAAGCACATCTAGGGACCTGTGGCTCCTGCATGGGATGAGAGGTAGAGAGATCAATAGTAGTCTTGTGTTCTAGGTCTGGTGTGTCTCATCAGCTGTGCCATTGGCATGGTGTTCACCATGGAGACTGGGAACTACTGGTTTGACATCTTCAATGACTATGCAGCCACACTGTCCCTGCTTCTCATTGTGCTGGTGGAGATCATAGCTGTGTGCTATGTATATGGGCTAAAGAGGTAAGGAGACCCCCCTGATCCTGCCTTCTACGTGGGGCAGATAAGCTGCAGTGTAAGAAAATCACCCTTCCTCAATAGGTACATTCCTTCTAGATGCTTTGCCCTCAGATTTCAGTTACCGTTTGCTTCCTCAGTTTGCCTGGATCCAACTGCTTCTTTCCATTTCCCATTTTCCACATTTTATCAGGTTAAGGACTCAGTGTCTGAACATCCCTCAAGCATTAGGGTTTCCAAGAACCATGTCAAATCCAGCTAGAAATTTTGGCTTAATAGATGTCAGATTTTTGCTCTGGTTCCCTGTCCAACTATGAGATGTTTTCAGTCTTCCAGATGTGGTGTGGAAAAACTTTCATACTGGGGCCAACGAAATGAGGATTACAGGGCCTCCTTCATTAGGTATTTGCAAAGGTCTGAGACAAAGTATAAATTTATATTTTTAGCACTTTCCTTGGTGTTCTGAGGACTACCTGCTGAGAACCAGTAGTCTAAGAAAAGACCTTGCTTTTCTTAATACTGCAAGGAGGGAGAAGAGTCCTTCCGAGTCCCCAGGCCCCCATTTTTTTATTCATCACTTTTTAAATTTTATAGATCAACCAGTTTACCCTCCCTTTTAGACTACCCATCCACTCCTCCATTCAGAAAAGATAAAGCCTCTCCATGGGAACCAACAAAACATGGCAAGTTGAGGCAGCACCAAGGTCCATACCCCCTCATCAAGGTATCCCACCACAGGGAATAGGTCCCAAAGATCCAGCTCATGCATCAGGGACAGGGTCTGGTCCCACTGTTAGTTGTGTAAGTTGGTCTTTTGTGGGATCCCTGTCATTCAGTTGCAGAGGGCCTAGGTTGGTTCCATGCCGGCTCCCTAGCTGTCCATCCACAAGCTCAAATCAGCTGTCTGTGATTGTGTTTCCCCATTATGACCTTGACCTCCCCTTGCTCATATAATCCACCCTTCTCTTCAACTGGACTCCTAGCAGTCTAGGCCCAATTCTTGCTCCACTCTACCTGCTCTTCCATACCAAGGCCAGGCCCTTCCAAGCACAGAGTGACTGTTCTGAGACCATCTCTAAGAAGCAGTAAAGAATACTTGGAACCATCACTAGTGTACAGAGTGGGGTGGGCAGAGAGGGAATGCCACCCTAGCCCTGTGGACTGAGGGGACTGGCATTCCCCTCCCCCATGTACCCTGCTCCCACCTTCTCTGGGAAATAGCCTCTGGTCCACACCTGGGGACCTCTGAAGGCCAACACCAGGAAGATGATGTCCCATGACCCAATCTGTATTGGTCACCTTCCCTCAGGCAGCCTCGGCCCTTGTCCCTTCACCTCAACAAACCCCCCCACACACACCAGGAAAGGATCAGATGGGTTGTGAGCATGTGCAAACATCATTAACGACCAGAAGAGCATCTTCCTAAGGGCAGAGGGTATGCAAACTGGAGCCCCTCCCTCCAGAACATGAATAAACCTAGGCTCTCTCCTTTGGCCCCAACAGATTTGAAAGTGACCTTCAGGCCATGACTGGCCGGAGCCTCAACTGGTACTGGAAGGCCATGTGGGCGTTTGTGAGCCCAGTGCTCATCATTAGCCTCTTTGTCTTCTACCTGAGCGACTACATCCTCACAGGAACGCTACAGTACCAAGCCTGGGACGCCACTCAGGTACCCGATGCTCCTGCAGGGCAGAGCCCACAAGGTCACTTCAGAACACAGGGAACCGTTGCTGTGGTGTGAGGTCACAGGTGATAGCATGGGAACTTCATCGAGATGTTTCCCAGATGCTCAGTCTAGTGCAGCAGAGCTGGGCTGTGAGTTTTGTTTTGGTTTTTCGAGACAGGGTTTCTCTGTGGCTTTGGAGGCTGTCTCGAACTCACAGAGATCCGCCTGCCTCTGCCTCCCAAGTGCTGGGATTAAAGGTGTGCACCACCACCGCCCTACTGGGCTGAGAGTTTTTTAACCATGATGCATAGAGAAAGCAAGCATCACCCCACAGCATCCCAGTGGGCCTTTCCCTAAATGGTGAGGACACCCCTGTAGAGGTGCTGGTTCTTCCTTCAAAGGAGCTTTACATGTTGAAAGGGTTCCCTCTAAGGTAAAAGACAAAAGGTGGAGTGGTTTCAGTGCAGGTATACAGGCCCATTCCCATTCATGCTACTTTTATTATAAAATACTGACCAATATTCTGGCAATAATTCAGGGAGGAAGAGACTTGGGAGGCATAGTTTCAGAGGGACCACTTGGGCAGAATATCACAGCAACAAGAGTGTGAGGTAGAGGTTTTTCTTCACTCCCTGATGGCCAGAAAGCAGAGTGGAAGCCAACAGCCCCCAATTACCTACTTCCCAACGTTGCTAGAACCTTTCAAAGTAGAACTACACAGCTAGAGAAGGTAGGCATCTGGGTCTGTGTGGGGAAAGTATTTCATATTCAACCTAAACACCAACTCACACCATTTTTCTTCTTTTTGGAATGGAGTCTGGAGTAAGTAGTCAAGACTACTGAAGGTTTCTCCTGTCTCTCTTGCAGGGCCATGTGGTGACCAAGGATTACCCCACATATGCACTAGCTGTCATTGGGATTCTGGTAGCATCCTCTACTATGTGCATCCCTCTGGTAGCAGTGGGGACTTTTGTCACACGCCACTTCAAGAGCAGAGCAAAGTTTCCTATGGCCTGAGAAGTGGATACTTCCTAAAATCGAAGTTCCTCAGTTGCTTTTCAAAACCAGAAATACTTTCTGCTTCCTGAATCTACAAAGAAAATTTAATTCTGTTATTTTAAGCTAGCAGAAACATAACTTTGGCCATAAATACTTGGTATTATATACTCAACTCAGTAGATAGAATTTTTCATCATTCTGACCTTTAGCTTTCATTCTAGAGATACCAAATATTTATTTTATATACCACCATTACAAACTGGGATTCTGGACTACAAATTTACCTCTTTCGTTGGGATGGAGTCTTGGTATGTATGTACCCCAGGTTGGGTCTGCACCTAAGTATCTTAGGCTAGAATCTATGACCTTCCAGACACAGCCTCCCCATGCTGTCACAAAAGGCCATGGACCATCAGGCCAAGCATAACTAATTATCCTCTGGTTTCTGTTTGAACCATTCCTTATCAACTCGTGGGTAGGGAGGGAGTAGGTACGAGTCTCAAGGAGCAGTCAATGCTAGACTGTGCTCAAACATACAATCCTCTTACTGCACCCCCTCCAGTGCCTGGATTATAGGCATGACTACCATATATGACCTTTCAGTATTTCCTCTGCTTTTTTCTTGTTGAGGGAAGTGCTTTGTTTCATCACCAAAGTGCAACTTTGTTGGATATAGTATTCTTGACTGGCAGGTTTCTTTTAGCAGTTTGAATGTACTAATAAATCCATTTATTTACAGTCTAATGGATATCCCCTTATATGTAACTTGACTCTTGCTCCCTGGTGGTAGAGAAGGGGGAAGATAATGAAATGAATTGTAGATCAAACAATACAAAACAGAAATGTAGCATGAAAATCTAGAGTACAGTAGGTAAAGCAGTAAAATCACACTGAGATTTTTTAAATTTTACTCTGAACAAAAACAGTGTGAGATGATGTAGTAATCTGTTCTAATGTACTGTACATTTGCTACATATCCCCAATACTATGTTGTAAACCTCAAATATGATAAAATTTTACTTTAAAAAAATAGGTGTGAGGAAGATGAAACACCTGGAAACATATATATCCCTCACAAGGACCATCCTCCCTGTGCCAGCCCTGAAGGTCATGTGCAGCCTTCTTTCCATCAATGGACACCAGCTTTTATGGTCAGTCTTAGAAGACTGGCACTTTGTAACCTTCAATTTACCTGTCTTTCTTAGACAAATCTGTACAATCTCCTCCTTATTGACATGACACCCACATGATACAAGGAGACTGCTTTTACCCAATCAGGTACATGTGATAAATGACAATGTTGGAAGGAATGATACCTGCATCTAGCTGGGATTCTTCGACCATACACACTCTCATTTGTGTGCACAAGTTCAGCTCTCAATTGAGAACTAAATAGATTAGAGTTTGTGATTTTCAACTCCAAGGCCAGAGTACTCACACTACCCTAGCCTTGTCCAAACTGAATTCCACAGGAAAATCATGTGATGTTCAATGAATAAGACTGCACTGGCTAAAAAACTTGATGCCGATGTACGGTATATACCCTCTCTAGGAGTCATTTTTCAAACCTCTGAAAGGCCTTCAGTTTTGACAACATTTTAACTTTATTTAAACCAATGTTTCTAACAGTTCTTGTCACAGATCCCTGGATTAAAAAACAGTGAGGTAACCCAGACACAGAAAGACAAATATAGTAAGTACATACCCTACTCCTAAGTAGATAGTAGACATATAGCCAAGGATTACCAGCCTATAATCCACAAACAAACACAGAAGAACCCAAAGGAGACACACACATGGTCCCCTAGAGAAGGGGAAAGGGACAAGATCTCCCGAGCAAATTGGGAGCACAGGGGGAGGGAGGTGGGAGCAGAGCATGAGAGATCAGGAAGGCTGAGTCAAGGAAGAATAGAGGAGGAGAGCAAGAAAGAGAGACCTTAATAGAGGCAGCCATTATAGGTTTAAAGAGAAATCCAGCACTAGAGAAATGTCCAGAGATCCACAAAGATGACCCCAACTAAGAATCTAAGCAATAGTGGAGGGGCTACCTTAAATGTCCTTCCCCTATGAGATTGATGACCACCTTAAATGCCATCCTAGAGCCTTCACCCAGTAGCTGATGGAAGCAGCAGCAGACACCCACAGCTAAACACTGAACTCTTAGAATCCAGTTGTAGAGAGTGAGGAATGATGAGCAAAGGGGTCAAGACCATGCTGGAGAAACCCCCAGAAACCGCTGACCTGAGCAAGTGGGAGCTTACGGACCCCAGTCTGACAGCTGGGGAACCAAATAGGGTAGAACCAGGCCCCCTGAACGTCAGTCAGTTGGGAGGCCTGGGCAGTCTATGGGGCCTCTGGCAGTGGAACCAGTATTTATCTCTAGTGTACAAATGGACTTAGGGAGCCCATTCCTATGGAGGGATACTCTCTCAGCCTAGATACAGACTCCCATGATCCCTGGGAGTGGAAGGGAGGAGGGAATGGGAGGACGGGAGGGAGAGGGAACTGGGATTGGTATGTAATATCTTATTTTTAAAATAAAAATGTGTAAGAAAGCATTCTGATAAGGGTTTTGATGAACAGACTGAAGAAGCTGGAAGACTCAGAACACATGAGGCCCACATGTGACTACAACAAGAAGAGTTCTCAGCAAAGACAATGTAAAGAAGCAAAGGAGAAAGCCACAAACAGGAAAACCTGGCATTCAGACCAGCAAGGGAGGGCTCCAACATTCTCAGTAGGCAGCTAAGTTTAATGTCATCCTGTACTGTCCCTCAAGGGCAGGAGAGCATCCCCTGGCCTCAGCAACTTACGATTTGATTATGTTACCACCTTTAATCAATGAAATGTGAGCAAGAGGGGCTGTCATTTCTGAGCAAAGGCTTCTCTTCCTTCTGTCAGGACAGCTGAGTATGTCTGAAGAAAAGCCAGATTTATCATTGTGACAGCCAAAGGACAGCTAACCAACTCTGCAGAGTGCACAGAAGGAGGGAAAACACACCTTTTAAATTTAAAATAAGAAAGAAAGAAATCAGGCTGGCCTCAATTGTCAGTCTATAACCCCAAATCAACGACTGTGGATAGAAAGATCTAAAAGTGACAACTGTCAAAAGTTGTCCTTGGAGGTGAACACAAAAGATGCTAGGAAAGCAATATGGTCATTCACTATATCAGAGAGGAGGACAAGCTACAACTAACAAATCATTCCCTTCAAGAACACAATTTCAATAAACCATGGGAAACAAAAAACTATAGTGGGATCCAAACAGACAATTAAAATCAAAATTATGAAAAAATGTTCAATGCCCAGAGAAATGCCAAAATGAGATGCTATTTCATACTGCCCCTACAAAAAGTGTATTTTGACAGTATCCTAGGAATACATGTACTGTAAAACAAGTAATAGTTAGGAAACATGGGTTCTAGATATGACCAATGATAATAAGACAAAGTTCAAAAGATCCATAAACATACATAAATAAAAATTTCATAAAATTCAAACAAAAAAACCACCAACGAAAAAGTGAAAGAAAACAGTCAAGCATGCTGGAACAGGTTTATAATCCCAGCACATAGGAGGCAAGATGATCATAGGTTTGGAGACAATCTGGGCTACATAGAGAGACACTATCTTAAACTGGGGGTAGAGGTGGGGGGGAGCGATGGGTCAATGAATGACAACACTTACTGAGCAAGCGTGAGGACCAGAGAGTATCACTCCAGTGAGAGACCCTGTCTCAGAGGAACAAAGTGGAAGGTGATAGCAGGCCACCTCACATCCGTCTCTGGCTCCTGTCTGCACGCACGCACGCACGCATGCACACACGCACGCGCGCGCGCGCGCACACACACACACACACACACACACACACACACACACACACACACACACGTCCTGGTTAAGTTCCACCTTTTCCAAGAAGCCCCCAATTACTTCCAGTTTACTAGCCCTCTACTTCCCTGGTGTTCCTTCTCTCCTGACCATCCCCAAAGATCCCCACCCCCTGGTACTGATGTTTTTGTGTAATCTCTTGCCCTTAAATGAGCTAGAGCCACTGACAGTCTAGTGCAAAGGATACAGTAAAAGTGATGGGGAACACTTCCTTCTTGATTGCAGACTCACTGCTGGCTATGATGTAAAAATTATTGTCTGAAGAGAACGGATGGCTTTCAGTCCAGAGTCAGCATGGATGGTCAACCCCACAAGCATGGGAGAAACTGAATCTTGCCAACAGTGACAGTCATCTTAAAAGTAGACTTGCTTTCAGCAGAACCTTAAATATGGCCTTGTGGAATGCCCTGAACTTGTTACAATGATAGGTTAATTAACATGGTAAGGCCATTAAGAGCCGGTCTATCTTCTCACAGTGAACAAAAAATACATTCAAATTACCTACCACATTTTATTAGTTACTTCACTAAGAACCTGGGGAAATTAAGGAAATATGGAAACAAATCTTTAAAGCATACACACATATACATATAGATATGAAAACATTGTGTGTGTGTATATACACATACATATATACATTTACACACACACACACACACACACACACACACACACAAAGCATACCTACATATGTAGATGTATAAACATGTACATTGTACATATCTTGGATGCCATTTTCAAGGAATTTCACCTCACTTCCCACATAAGCAAGGAATTCCTGCATTAACGTGTTTACTCAGTAATTTTCTTAGGCTCAGTGACACCTTTCTATGACCTGAAAACTTTTTTTCTTAGACAGAATCTCATGGATCACATGCAAGCTTCAAACTCACTATGTAGCTGAGGATAACCTTGTGCCGATTTCCTTGCCTCCACCTTCCAAGTACTGAGATTACAGGTGTGGCCACCATTACAGGTTTATAGAGTGCTGGAAATCCGTGCCCAGGGTTTCATGCTCTATCAACAGAGCTACATCTCCAGCCCTAAAAATACTTTCCAATATGTACTATTTTCCCATGTATCAGTTGCAACCTGTATCACTTATCTATCCATACTTCTGTATCATCCTGCAATCTATACTACTTTGAAACCAATTATAATTTGTAAGTAGAGATACCCTTATGGACATTAAACCTCACTTAATGTTACATATTCTTAAACGTTGCCCTAGCTTTATCTATAGAAAATAATGATAACTGTCTTAGGTGATCATCACTGGAGAACAGTTTAGAAGGTACTGTTTTTGTTGTTTACTTATAATGATCAAACATTGCTTTAAGATAAAAAAATACCACCTCTGATAAAAATATAGAAATAACACCAACAGTAGTTAGAAAAGAATATGGCATTTTATTTTTGCATATGGATGTACAGTACGTGAATTAAACAAAATCACTGCAGGGCTCTGAAACATTGATCACTTGCAGCCTAACCCACTGACAATTAGTTCTTGCAAAGTAGCCACATCAGCAGTTCAGATTTGGTGTTAGCTGTAGCTGTTGACATGAAAAGCCCAGTAGCATTTGAATAACACATTATAGTAGACATGGGCTGGGCTTCAATATTCCATCTTTGGAACAAATTATGCTTATTTACATGTCAGAATAGGTGGCTCTATTTACTTACCCTACTGTGAGTTTTAATGACTGATTTTAAGCTACATTTTCCCAGAGTTTCTAAAAGCAGTAACTTTTATTGTTTATAAAAGATAATGTTGAAGAAAAGGTAATGTTAAAATAAAGGCGCTTTTAGAAATATTTAAGGACAACATAAGGTACTACTATTAGAAAAAACTCTACATATTTTCAAGCAAAACACTGATGTACCATAGCAGTGTTTAACTGAACTGTTGTAAGATAGTGCAATGATACTACCTTATATACTGTTCTAATATCTAAACTTCATAATTACAATTTTAATATATAACCTGTCTTACAATTACAACTATGCACAGCTTCTGAAGCGTAGTTTTCAGTCTGTTTTATGCACAAATTAAAGTTGGTCCTTGATTTGGAGAATTATGGCTACCTGGAAGCACTAAATTTCAGACACTTATTGACAGCCAACAAAAACCTTTACAAAGTGAGAAAGCCAGAGTACCATGCATGGAAAAGCAGTTGCTACTCCAAGTGTGAACCAAATCTAGCACAAGACCCTCTATGAGGCCTGCCTGCATGTCTCCACACAAAATAAAAAAAAAAAAAAAAGGTCCCACAAGATGCGGGAGGAAGCAGCCGGCCAGTAGACTGTACTTTCCACAATGGAGCAGGTCTTAAAAAGAGGCAACTTTGGACCTTTAGCATAAGAGACAGACTTTACATTCTTTGATTTCATTTACACCTTTTAAAAAAGATAAAATATATCTGAACTTTTCATGACATTTAAGCTGCTAGGGCACTAAGCAGCTCAAGCTGGCTGAAGCCAAGAGGCAGCTACTAGAAACTTGGAACAACGCTAGATTCCATTCTCCTCTTCCTTCTTGTGAAATTACAACTTAGCAAACTACTTGATACCTGTAAGAGACATTCTATAAAGATAGGATTAGCGTACTATTAAACTTTTAAGAAAAGCCCAAAGATATATGGAAAATATGCTTGCTAACAGTGGCTGCTTTATAATGACAATAATGAAACAGAGCTAGAAAAATAATTTTACTGTCTTAAATAATGAAAGAAGTTAAAATTTTAAAATATATTACTTATCTGTGAACTTCTGATTAACTTGACAGTGAATAGATTTTTTCTGATCTGTGTGAGCTGAATTTAAGCTACATTTCAATTACAGTATAGCTTCAAATTATAAATATAACCATCCCAACAGTGAAGAGATCAAGTCAGTAATATCGACAACCCTAAGACATCACCCAGCCCAGACCACAAGAGGTGCTTCTGGGTAAAGGCTTTAAGAAGACCTTGGGACTCATGTGGAAAGCAGGTCAGTAAAGACTCCAGTTCTGCATCATGGAGTCTTCCAAGCCAAGCCGCTTTCCACAAACACAAATTCAGTCTATCTTTTCTTTCTGGACCAATCTAGGAGCATCAACAAAATCTTTGCCATTGTAAAGAATAATAAAAAATGTTCCAATGCTTGCAACTCCCCAGAAGAGGACATACGCCAGGGTTTCTGTCCAAGTGTCACCTGTTGATATGAAAGAGATAATGCATCATTTGTTGATGCCACATCTTGCCAGTTGTATAAGCACAACTTCATACTAAATTTTACTAGCATGTCCATAGGAAAAAAATACAAGACCCTCCTAAGGTTTAAACCAAGGGTCTCAACTCTTCATGCCTCAATAAACCATCAGCTGTGAAACCCTAAGAACTTGTTGCCTCTGTGACAAGTTCCCAGCAATACTGAAGCTACTGACCAGAGGCCACACTGTTAGAACTGGACTACTATCTTTCAAACTACCACAAAAATCATAATTATTACTGAGATTAAGTGCTTTATTAGCATAATGAACTACTAATAGCTTAATTAATCATAGTTCTATGATCAATACGGTATTTCAAATTACCTATAAAAACACATATTACAGGATGTGTATATTTATAAAGTTACATTAAATCAACTATAAATCATAACAAATTTTAACAACATTTAACATAACTCTGCTGGCAGAATTTATGAAAGTTAGCAGCACCTATGGAAAAAAGACCTATTTTGTTTTCCTCTTTAAAGAGCTGAGCTTTGGCTCACTTCTCTCCTAGATCTGCTGGCCTCAACTGTAGAGAAACACATGCAGAGTCAAACGGCTAGAAAGGTCATTCAAGGGAAGGAAGTCACTTCTGGACTTCCTACCACATCAGAGGTTGTAATGCATTTATGTTCCCTCGAAAACCACAGCAAGGGCCAGAAATCAGCTACCCAATCCACATGCATCACCTGACAGGTTACATTCACATCATTCAATATCTTTTTACTCAAAAATATTCCTAAATTTGCAACACTATCAATTTTCTTAGCTGAGTCTTAAAAGTTTTGTGCAGTAGACAAGTTAGTTTGTTTGGGGATTTGTCCTGGTTTGATTTCTAGTGCTGTGATAAATGTAATAACCAAAAGAACCTGGGAGAGGAAAGGCTTCATTTAGCCTACACTTTACAATCCATCACTGAAGAAAGCCAGGACAGAAAGTCAAGGCAGAAACCTAGAGGCAGGAGCTGAAAGAGACCATGGAGGACTGCTCCTTAATAGATTGCTCTCCATGGCTTGCTTAGTTTGCATTCATCATTATATAACCCAGGACCACCTGTCCAGGGGTGGCACTTTCCACAGTGGGCTGGACCATCCCATATCAATCATTAATCCAGAAAATGCCCCGTAGTCCTGCCTACAGGCCAGTCTGGTGAAGGAATTTTCTCAAGTGAAGTTCTCTCTTCCCAGATGACTCTAGCTTACATCAAATTGGAAAAAAATAAACCTAGCCAGGACAGGACTGAACCAGGACCTCAAGCATGCTAGGCAAACACTGTGCTTCTTCCCAGGCCAAGAACAGTTTCCTATAAGCTACCAGACACTTCCCAGAGGAACTCTCCACTTCACTAAGGCCAAGATCTTGGGATTAACTTTTCTTATCCCTCCAGAAGTTCTTTAACCAGCAGTGGGCATGGAAAACAAAACAAAACTCATCTATAGTGGGAGAGACTCCCAGTGGCACCCACTGGGCAGTGTTTTTTAAGACACAAATCGGAGGATCCAGGGAGTGACTAAAATCAGTTGTTGGCCTCTGAGCAACCAACACAGCTGACTGGGTTTGCCTTTTTTCCTTCCTGCCATAAAACCTGACATAGACTCAAAGCATCATTACTGCAAGCAATTCCTATATCCTTATCCTGGTTTTTACTGTAGGTAAGGATGTTTTTTCTATTTTTAGAAGGTCAAAAAATATACTACATCAACAACATGAAATAGATAAAAGACAAAAGTATTTACTGTCTGGTTCTTTACAGAAGTATGTTAACTAGGATGACAAGTTACTATAATTTCTCCCCTTTACTCAACAAATTATAATACTTTATCAAATTATGTGGTAACTGTTTACAGTGCTAAACTCTGCTGAGGACAGAGATGCATGGCACTCCTCTTATGAAGTGCAGACCATGGTAGTAAAGACTAAGGCAGTGGTTGTGGGATGCCAATCCCTAATTCACCTGAGGGTTTACTACAGCTCAGACACAGCAGACAAAACAATGAACAAAGTAGTCTCTCCCTCAAAGATCTGATGACTGGGTAGTAAAGACAAGTGAGAAAATCATTGTGTGCAGAAAAATACATGGTGGTTCTACCGGGTATACCAGGAGGGCATTCCACCTCTAAACAATACATTTCTCTATATTCACGAGCTTAGTGAGGAGCATGCCAGAAGACAAAGCCAGGAACAAAAGGACATGAGAGGTTGGGGAGGAGCATCTGCAGGATGCCATCAAGACAGTTGTCTACATACAAGTTTCAGAACAGCCAGCGCTAAATATAGAGACCCTGCCTCAAGAAACAAAATGAACACCAAAATATGAATGGGGGCTAGCAAAATTGCTCAGAGGGTAAAGGCTCTGAGCTAACATGGTAATCTGAGTTTGATCTCTACAGCCCACAGTACAAGGAGAGAACCAACACCTCAAAGTTGTTCTCTGACCTCTACATATGCACCATGCACATACACTCTGCCTTACACAACACACTCTCATAATAATAATTTAAAAACTCATGAAGGGTTAGCTTATCTCTAGAAGGCAGAATAGTAACTTCTCCCCCATTTTTGCCTTTATGTTCTCTATAATTATTATGAATTAGTTTGATAACAAGAAAAATTATAAAAACCTTAAGTTAAAAAACAGGGCCAATCAAATAGCTTAGTAGGTAAAGGTACTTGTTTTGCAAGCCTGGAAACCTAAGTTTGATCCCTGGATGTAAAGGAGAACTAATTCCACAAAGTTGTCCTCTAACTTTTACATGTGCACCCCTCGTGTGATAATAAGAGTAATAAAGCAGAAGGGGTAGGAGAGATAAGGAAGGACAGTCATAAAACACTTTGTGTGAAAATGCCATAATGATATCAAATAGCTTGTATATTAATTTAAATAAAAAAGAAAAAGATTTTTAAACAAAGAATCACCACTACCAGGAACAACAACAACAGAAAACTACTAGGAATTAGAGATGTGTCCTAGTGGTAGATGCTGTCTAGCTCAAAACACATAGGCAGAGGTACACAGATCTTTTTAGTTTAAGGTCAGGTTGATCTACATAGTGAACTCCAGGCAGACAGAGCTAAACAGTAAGACCTTGTCTCAAAAGGGGGGAAGACTATGAAACAAGAGTGCACTTACCAGCCATAAGCAAGCAGATGATACACATGGAAAAGGCAACAACCATGATGATGGGCAGCTGGAAAATACAATTGAAAGACACAGCTGTTTAGAAACAATCAGTGGCTAGGAAGTCATCCGTGTCCACCTGGTTTGGAAAACAGCAAAACTTCTGCAAGCTTATACACACAGGTTTTTTTTTTTTTTTTTTTTTTTTTTTTTTTTTTTTTTTAAATCAAGCACCACTATTCATGGGTTCAATCACAGTGACCTAAGTCTCCACACTGTTAAAGCTATGAGATCTAAGGAAGCATGCTTCTGCTTCAAACTTGGGAAACGACCATCCATCAGGCACTCTGCCAAAGTCTTGTGAACAGAGGACGAAAAGGAAGCAAAGTATCCCAGACACACTTTGCCTTTCATTCACAATTTATCTCTAGCAATTCCCTGATCACAAGAAGACTGAAGTTCTCACGAAAAAAGGGTTCCCCCACAGTTCCTTATGTGTTCTTATACCAAAAGGACAAATGGTAGAGTCACCAAAGAAAGCAAACACTCAAAGTTATTTTCTCTGTACTCTGGTTTCTCTTTTCGGGGAAACAGCAAGCAATGTTTTCAGAGGTGTTTTCTACAACCTTCAGACACAATACTTCCAATCTTAAAAAATCATAAGTTTCTTACTGCAAGAAATTTCCAGTCCCTTGGAACACTTAAAGGACTATGAGATTCTAATTCATCCACTGAATAGTTTCCAAGAAATAAGTCTATGGAATCCTAGAAAAGAAAGAAGGAAATTGTGAACTTTCCAAATTTGACTACACTGAGCAATGATGCAAAGATATAACCATTCAATGCAAAAAAAAAAGTACAAACTTACTTGTCTAAATCCATCAGAAAAGTTGTTTTTGTAATACCGTAATAATGAGTTGCAGCCATCCATTATAAGTCCCAATCGAGTTCTTTTCCCAGTTCTGGTTTAAAAAAGGTCCAATTTTAAATTATATACATGAATAGTGAATTTGAAGTTTTTAAACAGTGACTGTTGGTTGGTTACAGAAATACATGAGCAGCAAAGATGTTAAAAATTATCCCTGGGGGCTGTAGAGATGGCTCAGTGGTTAAGAACACTGACTGTTCTTCCAGAGGTCCTGAGTTCAATTCCCAGCAACCACATGGTGGCTCACAACCATCATGAATAAGATCTGGTGCCCTCTGCTGGCATGCAGGCAGAAGACTGTACACGTAATAAATAAATAAAATCTTTTTTAAAAAAAGTCTCACAAAGAGTTCTACTAGACACTTGTCTACAGATGTTCAAGTCTCATAAAAAAGGTGTAGTGTTTCCTTGTATCCTATTCATACCTAGTATTGACTGTATTTTCAGGAAATAATGATATGAAAAAAATCTGTGCATGCTCAGTATAGACACAAATGCATTTTCCTCAACCCTTTGATTAGTGGCTGGCTGAATCCACAGATAACAACTCATGGATAAGAGGGTCAATTGTATTTGTTCCCTAAAACATTACCAAGCAGACACAAGAAAGTGAAACAGTTTTAGTACAAAAACAAAACTATGAAAAGAAGTATAGCCCATGTTAAGAGGTATAAAACAACACAGTAACTAGGAACAACAATTGCTCCCAGGAAATCTTTAGTGTTACAGAAAAGATCCAAAGGCACCTAGAACAAATGAAAAAAGCAAGAGCATTGTCTGGAAGCTTTGCAGAGGTGCAGCTCACAGGCTGTGCCCCAAACCTGTGTGATCGGACTGGTGACTTAGACAGGATGCACAGTGATGCTGGAGAAGCAGCATCGAGCCCTCAACCCTCTCTGTGCATCAGACTGCCCCAAGGAGGTAAGAACCCACCCGTGCCCAAGCTCTAGTGAGGCCCAGGAGCTTGGTTTTCGAGCTATCCCCGAAAGCTGACCACAGGAACTCCAGAAGCATTAGGACTACAAGTCACTGATGTGAAACACAAGTTTAAAGTGTGGCTTACCTTGTAAAGTCAGTCTTCAAGGCACCAGTTCCTGCATACTGTTTGGCACAAGCATTAGCATTATCAGCCCAGGCTTTGGGAAAAATAAAATAACAGCTGATAGTGATTAAGATGCCAACTAAAGTTCTAATGCAAAATATTAATTTCAAAATTTGAACAACTTTGTTCCTATTAAGAAATTACCCACCATTTTTGTAAGTCTTCTCAAATTCATCTTGTTCTTCAAGCTTTTGTCCCACATGCAAAACTCCTAGTCTCTAAAAAAGAATCACACCCATATTTATGAGTGGCAAGACTTTAGCAGACCTGACTTGGGAAGAAAAGGCAACAGTTCCCAAATTCTATCATGGGGTTTCTTTTCCTGCTGATGCAAAGCACAGGTGTGCCTCAGCTCTTGGCCACCCACCACAGACTGTAGGAAGCTGCAGGACAACAGGGATAATAGCTAGATGGCACCCAGGAGGGAAAAGGGAAAGTGAAACACACTGAGAGACTTAAGTTGTTACTCCTCCTTCCCTCTGCCCTTCTGCCTTCCTCACCACTCACCATCCCAGGCTTCGCATACAAGTCACTCAAGTCTTACTTTCTACCCCAAGGACCTCTAACGATCTGATAAATGCTACATATTCATCTCCCCCAAACTGCACCACACACGAGCTTACACACATGTGCACACACACAGCCCTTTTTATAAAATTTCCAGGTAGCCGAGCCCCTGAATTCTCCTCTATGGATTACTCTCGGGGGGGGGGGGGGGGGTCCTGTGTTGAATTTTGTTTCAGATCGTCAACTCTCTGAACCCCTCAGATAACACCTCACTACTTCTTACCAAGGAGTCAGAATGCCCTCGGTGGCTTTTAGCTTCACAAAAACTGCCCCTCCTGGAGGGATAAGGACCATGGGAGAGTTCCTACACCATCTAACAAGGCCACCTCAGACTCTCCTGCCCAAAGATGCTCTCGAGTTCACTATATTTCATCAGACTGTATTCAGCATGTGAAAGATTATAAACCCTAATTCTGCGGGCTCTGTTTAATCAGTCAAGTGACCACTGAAAAGAACAGCTGAAGTATCTTCAGTAGATGGATGGCACAGCAGACTAGAGGCTTCCTACCACTCCTTTGACACAGTTACTTTATGGCTCATGAATAATTCTTTCTAAAGCAGACACCAAAATTTCCTGAGTGTCAAAAACTGTTAAAAACAAAGAGGAATACTTACAAATTATCTAGACATTTGGAACATACTTTGTCCTTCACAACAAATGCCAATGTCATTTAGAAATCTAGGCTCTTCGTTCATATTTAAAATTGAATATACGTAAAGAAGCTATTTGCATCTATTTTTTTTATCCTTAGCACAATCTTAATAAGGCAATTATGCCAGAAATGTTTAATCAAGAAGCTAATGTCCCTTGCCAGAACAAGAGATTCAAAGAAAAAAAAAAAAACTTGTTTTTGAGACAGGGTCTCTCATAGCCTAGAGTGGCCCGGATCTCCTGCCTACATCTCGAAATGCTGTGACTAAAGCTACATGCCACCATACCCAGTTTATGTGGCATCAAATCTTGTACTTCCTCATACTAAGCAAGCACTCTACCAACTGAACCCTTCAACACAATCTTGATATACTACTAAGTTAGAAAAGAAAACTTGCATGTGATAACACAGATCTGTAATCCCAGAATTCAGGAGGCTGAGGCGGGAGAATCAGGAGTTAGAAGTCTACATGTGCGACAGTGACCCTGACTCAGAAACAAAGAGCAGAGCAGAACAAACGACAAGACAAGCCTTAAACAAAAATAGCCAACGCAACTAGAATTCAACGGGATGGATTCACTTACTCATTGCTGACATCAACGTAAACTGATATGGGCCCTCTTAGAAAGTAGTATGTTTTGTTTCAGTTTGGTTTTTCGAGACAGGGTTTCTCTATGGCTCTGGAGGCTGTCCTGGAACTAGCTCTTGTAGACCAGGCTGGTCTCGAACTCACAGAGATCCACCTGCCTCTGCCTCCCGAGTGCTGGGATTAAAGGTGTGGGCAACCAATGCCCGGCTGAAAGTAATATGTTTATTCACTTTAATTTTGTAATTCGACTTCTAGGAATTAGCCCAACTATGGTTACTTTAATTATCAACTTGACACAGTCTAGAGTCACTTGGGAAGAGCCTCAATTAAGGGTTGTCTGGATTAAGATGACCTGTGGGCTAATCTATAGGGAATTGTTTTGATTTCACTACTGATGTGGGTAACCCTGCTTGAAGGTGAGCAACATCACCCCTTTGCATTCTGTGGTAATTTGAATGTAACTGGCCCCCAAAAGCTGGGAGAATGGCATTATTGGGAGGTGTGGCTTTGTTGGAATAGGTGTGGCCTTGCTAGAGAAAGTGTGTCACTGTGAAGGTGGGCTTAGAGGTCTCATATATGCTCAAGCCATGCCCATTATCTCAGTTCACTTCCTGTTGCCCTTGGATCAAGATGTAGAATCCTCAGCCCCTCCTGTCAGTACCATGTGTGCCTTCATGCTGCCATTCTCCACACCACCATATTCTCTGCCATGATGACAATGGACCAAACCTCCAAAACTGTAAGTAAGCTTCCACCTCAATTAAATGTTTTCCTTTATAGGAGTTGCCATGGTCATGGTCTCTCTTCACAGCAACAGAAACCCTAACTAAGACACATCACGAACTGTGAAAAGAGGAGAAAGTGAGCTGGGCACCAGCAAAAATGCAACATTCACTTTCTCTGCATTTGACTGTGGATGGGACTAATTGCTTCAGGATCCTGATTCTTTTGACATCTCCATGTTGTATAACAATTTCCTCCAAGACAAAACATTTCATCTTGCAGTAAAGCTTTTTATCACTAAGGAAATAAACAACTCAGAAGCTCAGCAAGTCCCTGAAACTGACCAGATAACATTAGGTCCCTCCTTCCCCAACTTAGGAAAATACCAAAGACTGCCGAGATGCCCTCAAAACCCCCAAGCTGCCTGCAAGTCATGCAGTACCTCCAGGTTTCCAGTTTCATGTGTGCCTTCATGCTGCTATAGGCTTTAGGTAGCAGGACAGACTCCAACATGAGAGAATAAACAGTGACACCATCAGGAAAATGTGTGCTTGTTCCTTCTCCCTAAAACCTTTAGATAGAAAGGCTGACTCTGTGGACTTCTTTTAATATCCTGGATGCAGTCTAGGAGTTGACACTCCTTTAGTCCACAGTACGAAAGGAAAATGGCAAACTAGGAACCACATAAGTGCTCTGATGGTAGTTATGGAAATCGTGTATGTATCAATGATGGCAAGGTACAAAGTTAAAAAGTCAGATTAGGGTGTAGGCAATGTGAGTACTTTTGTTGCTGGCTTTCAAAGGTTCTTTATTATTTTTAACACATATATTCTTTTTCAATAAAAGATTCAAGAAAGCAATATTCACCTGCAGCTGGGCTTGAAGAGAACGGCGAGCCAATAAACTCTGGATCACATTTGTTCTATCTAGACAATCCATACAGTTGCTGCGGAAAACTCCTTCCTGGTTTGTTACCACCTTGCCAGCAGAGTCTACTAAAAAATAACTGAAACACATTTGTGTGAGCACTCCTATGCCAAAGTACACTAAACACACCAGCTACACAGCTCTTGGAACACAGGTTTCATGGAGTGACCTCAGTAAAACCATAAATTACAAGGTCAGATGGAATACACAGCAGACATATTTCATTTTTTTCTAGCCCAAATGGTAATAATAAATGGCTGAGGCAGTATAGCTCCTTTTCATTTTTTCATTTCTTTTGTTTTTGTTTTGTTTTTTTGAGACAGGGTTTCTTCTGTGTAGCCTGTCCTGGAACTCACTCTGTAGACCAGGCTGGCCTTGAACTCACAGAGATCCACCTGCCTCTGTCTCCCAAGTGCTGGGTTTAAAGGCATGCGCCACCACTGCCTGGCAACAGCTCCTTTTTCAAAACACAGCTTTCAACAGAAGTCATCACAGGCAGAGAAAAGCATCGCACACAGGGAGAACCATGAAGGAGCTTAATGCAATGGAAACAAACCATGTTTCCTAAGGCCACTTTAACATGATTACTTTAGGAGTTAATGGTTTCTCCAAAATCCCTATCAGAATCTCCTGAGTTACAAATACAAATCCTTAGCCTTGAGAATCAGTAGAATCATAATCTCTGAAGCAAAGGTTGGAAAATGCTCTTAAAATGTTTTTTTTTCTATTTTAAAATGGATGACCATGCAAATAGAACAAGATATAAAAAGTACATTTTTCCGAATCCAATTTTCCTCTCTCTTTGATCACTCAAGTATGCGTATAGTAGCCAGGCATGATGAAAAGTTTCTGCGTGTTTTTATTTTTAACAAGCTCCTCAAGATGCTATGAATGAAAAAACTGACAACATTCAATGTGGTTAAGAACATGGACTCTGACAACAATCAATCTATTGCCTGCCTGAGCTCGCTGTCAACTTCCCAGATGCATAACTTTAAATAGGGTTTGTTTGGATTTTTTTTCTTTTTTTTTAAAATACACAAAACAGAGGTACTAGTACAATTCTTAAGCTGCTCTAAGGACTGAATGAAATAGAATGTTAACACACAAACCAAAAGCAAAGTCTGCATGGCTTAGTTTGAAAACTAGAAGTGAAATTATTCCCCCAATTTCTGGCAGCGGGGAGGTTGGAAGGAATGCAATAGTTACATCAGAACTAAACTGAAATCATCATCTGAGGGAGAAGGGTCTTGAAGAAAGTTTTTAAATGAATACCACTTTATATAGTATCATTGCAGTGCAAGCGAGGCTGGCTCCAGCTAAGGAGCATACACGTGTGTGCATGGATGCGCCTGCACAAAATGGTATGTCACCAGTGCCCATACAGGCAATCTGTAAATACCACTACACAGGAAAGTCTACTGGGTAAGTATTATTCTCTACTTCACAATGGAGAACGTTTAAGAAGAACCATCAGGCCCTTAGATCATATGGCTAATTGGGGATGATCTGAGACGTGTCAGAACTGACAAGAGCCGATTATTCCCACTACCTAAAAAGTCACTGGGAAAAACACTATCTTGAGAGATCACCTAACTTTCTAGTAAACGCTCAACGTCTCTGAGGAGTACAGAGAACAATGACAAAGATTCTAGATTCAATCTTCCCCATACATTCTTTTTGTTTTGTTTTCTTTTTGAGACAAGGTCTCTCTGTGTAGCCCTGGCTGTCCTAGAATTCCTGATATAGAACAGGATGGCCTCAAACTCACAAAGATCTGCCCACCTCTGCCTCCAAGTGCTGGAATAAAGGTGTGCGCCACCACCCCTGTCCCACCCTGCAAACATTCTTGTATATGGCCGTATCCACCAACAAGCCCAGCCCAGCCAGTGTCTTCTCATAACAGCCAGCCACAGAACAACCCTATCATCCTTCACTAGCTATGCTCATGACAGAATCACAGGAAATGAAGTTAAATATAGTCAATAGCTTTGTATACTAATATATTTTTAAAAACCAAATAAATGTGTATCAGAGATACAATTGACATTTAAATGTACATTTGGTATACTGTATACAAGTAAAAAAAACTGTCAAAAATTTAAAAATTAAACAAAAAAATACATGTGGAGTGCCAGGTTAGAACTATCACAGAGGTAAAAGAACAGAAAGGTGTATAGATTATTTTGGCTTTAATATAAGTAAGACTGACAAAAGTACAAAGAACAGTAAACCTGTGAACCAGCACTCTAAAACATGTAGCAAACACAGTCAAAAATCACCATAAAGATGTTCAAATTTTTTGCTTCACTAATCCTACACTGAAGAATCTTTTTATAGGCAAAATTTTAACACACATAAAAAGATAGACACTACTCATGTAAAGAGAACCACTTGCAGCACACTCTTCCAGAGGCAAGGAAAGGACCCAGATCTTCATGTGATAGGAAGCATCTTAACACTATGTTGTGACCTAACAGGCTGCAAAGACAACACTGAAAATTGTCATTAAGAAGGCTCCTAATGGAATGCTGTAATAAAATGACAGACCACTAAAACCAAAATAGTAATAAACCAACTGCAATTATGTAAAAATTGAAAACTATTATGAATATTCCTGACATTGTCCCATTTGTAGGGATTTAGTTATTCTTCCAATACAAAAAAATTACAATAAAACAGCACATATAAGCACCCAGTGACATAACTTCACAAAATTGCTAAGTAATTATATAATTAGTAAGACTGGCATACAGAGCTACCTCTCCTCCTTACCTCTCTAAGGAAGTAATATGGCTTACCTTAATTCATCCTGCATTTCTGCTACTTGATCCAATAAAATACTCAGTCGATCCCATCTCATATTTTTACATTCCTTATGGAAGTCAAAGGCAATGTACCTACCAAAAAAACCCCACATACTCAGAAACTGATGAGACCATTCAGTTTCCTTCTATTAATAATGACTGTTAAGATTATTTTTCTCAATATGTGAACATGAGTAATAGGAATGTAGAGCCTCCTTCATTTTGGGCTTATTAAAACAACAACTACTACCATTCCTCACACACACACACACCTACTACTACTACACACAGACACACACACAGACACAGACACACACACAGACACACACAGACAGACAGACAGACACACACACACACACACAGACACACACACACACACCTACACAAACTACTACTGCACACACCTACTACTACTACTACATACACACAGACAGACAGACAGACACACACACACACACACACAGACACACACACACACACCTACACAAACTACTACTGCACACACCTACTACTACTACTACATACACACAGACAGACAGACAGACACACACAGACACACACACACACACACACAGACAGACACACACACACTACTACATACACATAACTACTATTCCTCACACACACTTCCCCTAATTCTTCAACTACTACTACACACAAACCTACTTAGTACTGCCACACACATAACTACTACTACTCACATACACAGACACACACACACTTACTTCCCAAGCTCATATCTATGGGGGAGGACAAATTAATTAAAATCATTGTAAGATAAATTTTATTTTCACGTTATTCTAGGGTCCTGCAGATAAAAGTTGAGAAGCACAGCAAATGCTAATAAAGCAGATCAGATTTACACTATTGACGTATACACTCCAAGAGGTGGAAGCCAACCAAATACCTAGCATATATTTATTTTCTATCCCTGTGTGCACAGAATGCAGTTTCTTCTTACCACTTTCCACATCAATATGATCAAAGTATTGAAACTCAGCTCAGTCTATGGTGGATTAGGCTGGGTATCTGTTGTGTACTAGGGGTTGTAAGAAGTGCAGGGAGGCAAGACAGTCTCTATAGTGTTAGTTAGCTACTGCCCAGCCTAACCTACAAATCACTTTCCTTTACCAGCATCTATAAATTATACGTGTGTGTGTGTGTGTGTGTGTGTGTGTGTGTGTGTGTGTGTATGCATATATATATATATGCAGAGACAACTCTGTCAATCTATAATGAACCCTTTGCAATTACCTAATATTTAAGCACAACTCTAAAATCAGATGATATCCAAATGTGAAGGTGACCTACCATTTGTCACCTTCCCCTTAAGAAGGTAGAAAAATCATTACTAAAGCTCTGACAGTCAATGGAGAAGACTGGCTACATGAAGTATGGCATAAACCCCAACTTCCTGCTGGGGAATCGCCAGTAGGACAGACTGGAAGGACAGTGTGCCCCTGTCTGCAGAGTGGAAATGCAGGTAAAGCGTCCACTGCTGCGTGACTCCCTCACTCTATAATCCAGGATGGGCACTAGCAGCTATAAGAGACTCTACCACTTCAATGGTTACCTCAAGAGAGAATGGTAAGATATTAGTACAGAAATTAGTACTAAGATACATGTGGGCCAATGACAGGAAGCAAGAAAGACATTTTAAAAGGCAACTTCAAAAAAGTAGCACTGGGTTGGAGAACTGGCTCAGAGGTTAAGAGCACTGGCTGCTCTTCCAAAGGTCCTGAGTTCAACTCTCAGCAACCACAGGGAAGCTCACAACCATCCATAATGATCTGGTGCCCTCTTCTGGCCTGCAGGCATATATGCAGGCAGAACACTATGCATAATAAATAAATATTAAAAAAAAAAGCAGCACTGTAAATTATTTTGAGTGCTCTGACCAAAATTACCAGCTGTAGCCTTGCATTAAGCAGGCCATCACACAGAGTACCTAAAACCACCATCTGCGACTAATGGGGCAGGCAATGATACTGCTCCAGACAAGGTCACTACACAAGTGTTAAACTGGTTCAGCTCGTGTAGTAACAACTCATAGCCACTAACCTGTATCCATATTGGGTTGCTTACATCTAGCATCCATGGGCACTCGACATACACACACATACACACTTTCTTAAAATACAAGTTAAAATATAATAGCATACTCTTGGTATTCTTATGCATAAGTGTACATGTGACTTGAAAGATCTACAACAGACACTTAGTGAGATACCTGATCATCCCACTCCCCAAGGATGACACCATCTTTGCAAATGCTTGCTCAAGTGGTTTCTCTGAACCCTTGTGGTTCACCTGTAAAAAAAAAAAAAAATTAAAACAGCATGACTTTCTATTTTGACAGAGAGTGATACCAGGAAATTAACAAGGAAATGCTAAGCTTTCATTCTGGCACAGAAACTCTGAAAAGGAAGTCACCTGAACCAACTTTGAAAACAATCAAAGTTTACAGCCACCAACAAAATATCCATCAAGAAAAAGCCACTCAGCTTTAATCCCAGCACTGGATCTCTGTGAGTTTGAGGCCAGCCTGGTCTACAGAGTGAGTTCCAGGACATCCAGGGCTGTTACACAGAGAAACCCTGTCTTGAGAAATGAGAAGGGGGGGGGGGGAATAGGGGAAGGGAAGGGAAGGGAAGGGAAGGGAAGGGAAGGGAAGGGAAGGGAAGGGAAGGGAAGGGAAGGGAAGGGAAGGGAAGGGAAGGGAAGGGAAGGGAAGGGAAGGGAAGGGAAGGGAAGGGAAGGGAAGGGAAGGGAAGGGAAGGGAAGGGAAGGGAAGGGAAGGGAAGGGAAGGGAAGGGAAGGGAAGGGAAGGGAAGGGAAGGGAAGGGAAGGGAAGGGAAGGCTGCCTTCTAAGCTGTAGGAAATCTCTGCAGCATTTTGTCCTTCCTTCCTCCTCCACTATACAAGGTGATGAATTTTGTGGTAAACAACAGGAATCTTGTTTTTAGTTCCCTTCACCAAACCAACAGAAGCAGACCAGACCTGATGGATGTACACACAACTATACACACCAGCACTAAATCATCTGTGTTGTGTAACTGAACGAAGGTCAAAAAACACTGGACTCATTGTAAAAACTACAACTGAACTATTATCAATGGGAACCTGGGGCAAGAGCTTTTTTCTGGATAGAGACATAAACCATCTAAAGCCTGAACAAACCAAGTGATGCTCTCTGGAAAATAGGGACATTCAAAAACAGCAGTATATATGAAAGATTCAGAAAGTTACTTCCACACTCAGGCAAGAAACATGTCCAGAAAAATCCTAATACTACAAACATGGGCCTGTTGCTCTTTGGCCTTCAAACATGCCTGGCTGGTTAACTGGTAAACTGTGCTGTCTCAGTACAGAGTCAGTTTCCAAAGAATAGAAGGTGGGTTGTTCTTTGTTTTATTTTGTTATTTTGTCTTTTTTCAATATTCAGAATTCAGCAAAGTTGCCAAAACATTAGCTGAACATATTAAAAGAGTATTCGGTGAGCATACAAGGTGAGGAAAACCTTTGCAAAAAGAGTCTCTGGGAAAGTATCAAAACAAATGCATCACTATAATTTTTAATGTCCAAAAAACCAAAACAACAAAACAAAGCACAACTAGCTCTGGGAAGAAAACTGACTCCAGTGTTACAACATTATAATTATCAAAGACATAATTTTTAAAGAAAATCAGTCATACAAACAAACAAGAAAAATGGCTTATCCAACATACCAGAATTTAAGAGAGAAAACATAGTGGTAAGAGGGAATTTTATTACTTCAAGTGCATATATTAAAACAAAAACTAGCTAGTTGTGGTAGCAACATGCTTTTAATTCTAGCATTGAGGATGCAGAGGAAAGAAGCTCACTAGGAGTTCAAGGAAGACCTGGGTTCAATGCCCAGCGCCCACATAGTGGCTCACAACCATCTACAACTACAGTCCCAGGGGATCTGATGATAGCTTCTGGCTCCTGTAGGTACCATGCACACACACTGTACACATAAATAAATACAGGTGACACACTTATAGACATGAGAATAAAAATAAATATTTAAAAATAAAGGAAGGAAAGAAGAAAAAGTTTCAAATAAAAAACCTAACACATTAAAGAGCTGGAAAACAAAGGAAACCCAAAGGTGGCAGAAGGAAGGGAATGACACAGACTAAAGCAGAAATGAGACAAACGGAGGAGAAAACCAAACAAAACTGCTTCCTGAAAAACACTGGCAAGTTTGGTGATAATGAACAAGAAAAAAAGAGAAGATTCAAATTACTATAAGCAATAATGACAATGAGAACACTGATAATAATTTTTAGAAAAACAATGAGTTATAAGCAAATATGATGGATACTCATACCAAAAAAAAAAAAAAAAAATCCAACTTAACAGTTCAACAAATTTCTGCCAGGCGGTGATGGCACACGTCTTTAATCCCAGCACTTAGGAGGCAAAGGCAGATGGATCTCTGTGAGTTTCAGGACAGCCTGGTTTGCAGAGTGAGTTCTAGGACAGCCAGGGTTACACAGATAAACCCTGTTCTCCAAAAAACAACAACAAAACAAAAAAAATTTGATTCGAACAAATTTCTAAAAATATATAATCTACTAAACTTGAACTGTAAGAAATAGAAAACTGGAATAGAAAGTTGGATGTGGTGACTCATACATGTAATACTAGCACTTGGGAAGTTGGGACAAGAAGAAAGCTAAGTTCAAGGGTAGCCTGAGCTAACAGTAAAACCTTGCCTCAACCTCACCACCTTCTCCCTCCACAAAATGAAAATATAAACAAATCAGTAAGTAGGAAAGAGACAAAGCCCCAGACCAGATGGTGATGGCGGATGTTCTTTTGTATGCTGTGAATATATGTTTCTCATATTGGCTGATGAATAAAGCTGTTTTGGTCAATGGACAGACAGGATTTAGCCAGATAGGAAATCCAAACAGGGATAGAGAAAGGTAGCAGGCGGAGTCAGAGAGACACTATCTAACTTTGGAGGAAGCAGGAGACCTGAGCATCACCAGTAAGCCAAGACCATGTGGAGCTACACAAATGAATAGAAATGGGTTAATAAGTCAGAGAGAGCTAGCCAATAAAAAGCCCGAGTCATCAGCCGAACAGTTTATAATTAATTTAAGCCTCTGTGTGTTTATTTGGGACAAGTAAACAGCTGTAGGACCAGCAGAACAGAAACTTTGGTCTACAAGATGGCTTCATAATCAATTTAACTAAAAGTTTAAGGATTTAATAAGAATTAATACAACTCTTCTTTAAACACCTTCAAAAACTAAGAGTGTCGGTATGCTCTTTAATTCATTCATAATAACCAAAAGATAGAAATAACCCAAATGCCTATCAATTCATAAATAAACAAATGTCTTATATTCCTACAATAAGATGTTATTCAGTCTTTAAATGCAATGCAATTCTGGCAGGTATAGATGGATCTTTAAAGCATTATACTAAGTGAAACCAGTAAAAACACAGAGGACAAATATTGTATGAGTCTACAGATATAAGGAACATAAAAACAGAGAAATTCAGAAGCATCAGATAGAAAAACAGAATCACTAGGAATGAGGGGAAGGTGGAAAAAGTTTCTGTTTGGTCTGATGAAAAGTTGTGGAAACATTAATTTTCCTGTTAATTAAAATGCTTTTGGTCAGGTATTGGTGGCACATGCCTTTAATCCCAGCACTTGTGAGGCAGAGGCAGGTGGATCTCTGTGAGTTCGAGACCAGCCTGGTCTCCAGAATAACTGCCAGGTTAGGCTCCTAAGCTACACAGAGAAACCCTGACTCGAAAAACCAAAAGAAAAAAAAAAAAGTGCTTTTGTTTTGTTGTCTCCCTGCCAAAGAAACATTCAAACCTACCAGATTAATTATGACTTGTTTTCCATAAATAATTACTTGTGAATCAAAATGCCTTTGGAAACCATCCATCTAGAAGAGAGAGAAAGGTATACAGTTTATTAAACTACATTATATATTATTTACCATATTTCTTAAAGTACCTCAACTATCCCATTTTTTTCAAGATTTATTATATGTTTGAATGTTCTATCTGCATACAAATGCATGCCAGAAGAGGGTATCAGATCCCACTAGGGATGGTTGTGAATGACCATGTGGTTGAAGGGAATTGAACTCAGGACCTCTGGAAGAGCAGCCAGTGCTCTTAACTACTGAGCCATCTCCCCAGTCCCCAACTATCCCATTTTTACACTTAACAAGATGGCAGGATGAGGGCCATGCTTTCTGCCTATTGGAAACACCATGAGGTATGTGGTTGTTACAGCCATTCTACGCTGCACTGCAGTATCACTAAGTGAATTCTACGCTGCACTGCAGTATCACTAAGTGAATTCTGAACACAACTTTTGACGGGTACACTACTTTCTATAAACCTCACTGAGATTTCCCAAGTGCTCATTTCTGCCATTCCACTCAGGAAGTCTCCATTTCAGTACTTATAACATGTTATTTGAGGCAGTTTGTTCTATAGCCCAGGAGAAGGGCCTTGAAGACACTGAATTGTGACTTGTGGGAAGCAAATATATATTCTATATGCAAATCAAAAAGGAACAAAGGTTCTTTCTGTGTGAGCAGGGTCCTCCCCAGGCAAGCTGGGCTCTCATATCACCTCTACCCTTCATACAACTTAGATTTTATTTTAACCAGTGAAAATTTCAGGAAAATACATACATGATTTGCTACTTTGTTGATCTGCGGTTGTGGTTTGTACTTCAGATTTGGTCTCTGTGACCAGAAAATAGGTATTGATCCTCGAGTCTAAAACAAAAGAGAGAAATATGAAAAGAAAGATACACTAACTAGTTTTCTCAACCTAATTATTGTGGGCCATACAGATACTAACAATTTTGCAAAGAAAAACAAAACAAAACCAATCCACCAGCTACAAAATTATATGCACCCTCTTAAATTACCTGTTTTGCCAGGTGTGGTGGCACACACCTTTAATCCCAGCATGGGAAGTCAGTAGTAGGAAGATCTGAGTTCAAGGCCAGTGTGGTCTACATAATGAACCCCAGGACAGCTAGGACTACATAGAGACACTGCCTCAATAAATAAATACAGTTCTTGTTTTATGAAAATTATGCTTACAAACCACTTCCTCTTTCCAGTATTACACACATGGTACCTGTGTAATAGAAAGTTCTGTGATCTTCCTAAGTTCTAAATATATATATTTATTTTATATTTTGGCAAAATGAAAAAAATTGCTTTACTCATTTTCAAAGGAATGTATTTATGAGCATCTGAATTTATTTAGCCACTGACACTCTGGAATAGGACATACTGCACAACTCCACCAGAGACAATAGGTGAGCAGGACTGAGTAAGGCGGTTAAAACCAAGTACTCTCTATCAGCTTGTGCTATCATCAGGATCTAAAGGCTTACACTGGTGAACTGTTAAACTTCCACACACCTCACACTTCCTTCTCTCTTCTGTTTTGGGGGATTTAAATTAAAGGCAGGGCGTATTCATAAGACAGTGCCAGAATAATAATCAACCCTTTTATTAGGTGAACTTTTCCCACACTGTACACTGTAACATGATAAATAAAAGACCCAGAGGCTGATATTGGGTTCAAACTTCACGCTGAAGAACAAAAAAGCAAAGCAGATTGCCACTAGCTATTACCACTACCTCAGGCTGAATGGGCTGATCCTATTTGCCTCTCCTCAGTGGAAGGAGAATCCTCAATGTGGCTGGAGAATGAATGCTCCTATCTTCAGTGTGGCTTGGAGAATGAATGCCTGATGCAGACTCCTGAAGACCCTGCTCCTATCTTTTATACCCCTCTAGTTCTAGAATTAAGGGCATATGATTCCAGGTGCTGAGATCATCTTTGTGTGAACTGTTTCTCTTTAGAACTGGATCAATCTTGCGTAGATCTGGGTGGCCTTGAACTCACGGAGATCTATCTTTTAATCCTAAATCCTAAGATTAAAGTGTGTATCTCCACCTTCTAGCTTCTGGCTACTGGGATTGAAGGCCTGTGTGTCACCATTGTCTGGTCTCTATAGGTTGAGGCTGACTTTGCTTTTTGAATCCTCAGATAAGCTTTAATAAATCACAAATGATATATCACCACAGTTTACTAAGATAGTATTTAAAAAAACAAGGAAAGACTGCAGATGTGAAGGCAGGAGGGTCAGGAGTTCAAAGTCATATAACCAATTATATAGTAAGTTTAGGGTCAGCCAGTGCTACATGAGACCCTGTTTCAAAAATCCTGAAGAGAAGAAGGAGAAGGAAAAAATGAAGAAAAAGAAAAAGAAAGAGAAAGAGAAAAAAGGAAGGGGAAGAGGAAAACGTCAACATGATAGAAAAGGCCAACTGGATGACCACCAGACACACGCACTTGCCTGTACAAACGAAGCCCTGTTCCCATTGTAGTGCACGATCTGTTCTGTTTCTACAAAGTTAGCTGCGTGGCCTTCAGAATCAATCCCTAACATTTGGTACAAAAGACACGTATCAAAAAATCATTAACTCAAGATAACTTAAGAATTATCAACTCAGTCCACATGAATGGATAAGTACTCATAGTATTAAAGTTCAAATAAATGGACAGTACATTATTAGAAAAAGAAACTTGCTTAACTAAATAGGCTTAAAAAGTAGTTAAGATTTATTTATATAAACATAGAGCTAGTTGATATTTTTCATACTATAAACATCCTCAAAACAGTCCCCTTTGAAGAAAAGAAAGTCAAGCATGCCTACAAATCCTATTTTGAAATTAAAACTATCATTTTTTGTTTTGTTTTGTTTTGTTTGTTTTTCGAGACAGCTTTTCTCTGTGTAGCTTTGGAGCCTATCCTGGCTCTCACTCTGGAGACCAGGCTGGCCTCTGCCTCCCGAGTGCTGGGATTAAAGGTGTGTGCCACCAACGCCCGGCGAAAACTATCATTTTTTGTGATTATACTTGGTAATAACATTAAATGAAAATGTGGCTCACTGCATCAATAGTACTTAGTTGTAATGCAAAGAGTCTCTAGAAGATATTTAATTATCAAATAAAAAACTGTGCATGACCATGAACGTATCCATGAAACCTAGTCTAAACGCACAGTGGAAAGTACTTAGAGGGGCTGGAGATCTGGCTCAGAGGTTAAGAGCACCGACTGCTCTTCCAGAGGTCCTGAGTCCAATTCCCAGCATCCACATGGTGGCTTACAACCATCCCTTATGAGATCTGGTGCCTTCTTCTGGTGTGCAGATATACATGGAAGCATAATGTTTTGTACATAATAAATAAATAAAAATCTTTAAAAAAAGAAAGAAAGTACTTAGAGAAACTCTATACTGGTCAAGCCTCTCTGGGATCGGAAGCACTTCCTCAACTTGCTTGTTTACATGATCTATTGTTACTAAGAAGTCTGCCAAGCAAAAGCAATTTCCAAGGTATCCTTGAACCAAATTGCCAGAAAGATTAGCAGAAAGAAATCAAAGAATTTTTAACTCCCCAATATTTAAGATATTCTTTTCCTCTGACATATATCTCAAAGCAGTTTTGAATTATTGTTATCAGTGTATATGTAACTATACATTAGGAGATAACCAGAAGAAAGCAAATTTACTGAGCTACACTAGCAATGATATCACTTCTCAATGCTAAATTAGTTTCAGAAGCACAGGCTACATTTGTTTCCTTCTGTGGTAGTTTGAATGTGAATGCCCCCCATAGGCTCATATTAGGGAGTGACAGTATTTGAGAGGATTAGGTGTGACCTTGTTGAAGTAGGTGTGGCCTTGTTGGAGAAAGTGTGCCACTGGGAGGACGGGCTTTGGGATTTTAAAACCCCAAGTCAGTCCCAGTGTCTCTTTCCTTCCTGCTGCCTAGCAGAGGAATAAAAACCAACCAGATTAAATGGGAAATCTCGATCATTTTAAAAATAAAATTCATATTTAAAATATGTATTCAATGCTTAACAGTCAAGAAAATGTAGTTAAGGAGATACTAACTATAATTTGGTTGAGGCCATTCTTAGTGGATGCTATGGCAACTGTATTAAGATTAATCAGATACTCTCTACATAATACTCTGGGCTCAAAATTACAATTATTTGCTTAATAGGATTTATTCTGATATATTATGGTTGAAAGCAAAACAAATATTGAGAAATCTTCACATTCACAGTAACTATAATACACATCTTAATAGTTTGGTTAAAAATTAGCATTATTTTTAATGCAAAAGACTTTGCAAAAGACTTTGAGAATGCTCAAAATGTAAATAAACATTCTACAAACTGAAGTCATAAAGTAAAATGGTTACCTTCATACATGCAAAGAGACCAAGAGTGATAAGAGAACTGCTGTCTGATATGAGTGTAAATTACTGAATACCACACTGAATTTAGCATACTTTCAGACACCCACAAACATGCAGCTGCTCAGGGTACCATGTTCACATTTGCAAAGTAATTACAGTATCTGGAGAAAAGCACAAAAGACCTACTACTCATAATAATGAAGACAAAAATCAATAGAAGGGGTATCAAATAACTCAATATATACAAAGTCACAGGTAAGTCACTAAGACAAACATTAAACAATGGAGATAGGGCCTAGTAATGCCACATGAAATGACTCTTACCTCTTACATAGTATCGCACACCAGCTCTGAAACAACTCCTTCTGGAGATGAGAATCCAATCAAAGTACTTCCCATTAATAGAACATGAGTGCATGGCAACAACTTAACTATATTAAGAAAAATGTAATGTAGGAATAGTTCTAGATTCTTTACTGTAATAGGAATGAATTGTCTTTAGGGGGAAAAAAAAAGAATATGCAAGTCTTTCTGGTTCTTTGTGACTATTCCCCAATCTTTAGTATCATTTCCTTTTTGGTTTTTTGAGACAGGGTTTCTCGTGTAGCTCTGTAGACGAGGCTGGTCTTGAACTCACAGAGATCCACCTGTCTCTGCCTCCCAAGTGCTGGGATTAAAGGCGTGCGCCACCACAGCCCAGCAGTCTCTTCATTTCTAACTGTGAAGTTTATCAAGTCAGTACAGAACATTTAAGAACTCTGCTAGTGTTTCTATTTAGTTTCTCCCTTTCCCTGGTGTCTTCAACTACTTTCTAAAAGTATAGAACTAGGTGTCAATGATATCACCAAAAACTCTGTTCTAATGAAAACCAGGAATCTGAAAATTAATCTTCAAATTAAGAAACAGAAAACAGAGTGGGAGCTCAATCCTGGGTTCAATCCCTTGCACTGCAAAAAGTAACTACTTAAAAATTAAATGAAGAAAAAAAAAGGCTATTATGGTTAAAGAAAAATATGAAACATAGCCGGGTGCTAGCTAGTAGTGCACACCTTGAATCCCTGAACTCGGGAGGCACAGGCAGGCAGATCTCCATAAGGTCGAGGGCAGCCTGGTCTGCAGGGTGAGTTCCAGGACAGTCAGGGCTACACAGAGAACACCTATCGCAAAAAACCAAAAGAAAAGAAAAATATGAAACGTATCATATGTATATCTATACATGTGAATTAGTCATAATAGTATAGGATGACTTACAAATTGAAACAAACTTCAACTGCTTTTTCTCTGGAATGTAAAAAATAAACCTAAAAATGAAAAAGATTAATATAAAGAATATGTGAAATGGTAGAGTGCTTTCTAGCCCACATGAAGCCCTGGGTCTGAACTCCAGCATGACATAAGCCAGATATAATAATGCATGGGTGTGATTTCAGCACTCAGAGGCTGCAGTTCAAGATCATATTCTGAAGTACAGAATTCAAGGTCAGCCTGGGAGTTCTCCAAACCTTTCCTTCAATACTAGTCCGATTTAAAACGGATTAAAATGGTGGCTTTAATTCAAATCTGTTTGATCAAAATAAAACCTTTGTACACAAGTGTATCTCTGAAGCATGCTGAGCTCTTTCCACCTGGCTGCATTACTGCCATTGAGGAAGGGACCTGCTGTGAACAATCTTTGTACACTGTAAATATGGATTACTCTCATTGGTTAGTAAACAGCTGGGCAGTAAGAGACTTCGTGGGAAAGCCAGACTAGGAGAATTCTGGAAAGAAGAAGGGAGGAGTTAGAAAAGTCGCCAGGAGATGCAGAGGGAGTAAGACATGCTGGAGAACAGGTAAAGCCATGAGTCACATGGCAGCACACAGATGAAAAGAAATGGGTTAAGTTCTAAGACCCAGTTAGTAATAAGTTTGAGCCATCAGTTGAACCTTTCTAATTAATATTAAGCCTCCGTGTTGGTTATTCTGGGAACTGGCAGGCAAGAAAAGTCTGCCAACAGGGACCACTCACACCATTCCTTTGCTTGGTTTCTAGTTTTGCCACTAAACAATGTATTTATTCTAAACAGTTTTTACTCTTTTGCAAGAAAGGCGCTGCAATTTAAGTATTCCTGTGGCCTTGCATGCTCTGTATGTTTGAGGTGCATTCACTTATTTATCATCTGCATAAACACGCTACCAGTTGGTTTGTTTTGTTTTGTTGGGGTAGGGGGTCTCAAACTGTTAAACTTGCTGCCTCAGCTTACACAGGGCTGAGATAACAGCCATGCACCACAACAAAAGGGTACACTAACGTATTTGTATTTGTCCGTTCTACTGTTGACAGACATGCAAGTTGTTTCTATATTCTGCTGTCATAACCAGTTTCAAAAAACATTTCTGTGAGCCTGAAGACATGGATCAAATCATTATATCCACCATCTGACACTATCAGGAAATGTCAATGGACTTGAGAATTATTTTAGCTTATCTTCTTTACCAACTCTTGATACTGTTAAGTTTATCCAACTCATGGAGGAATTAAGAGGATAACAAGTTTTATTGTTTCACTGGCCATATCATTATTTTTGCTCATTTGTTTAGGTTTGTCCTGTTTGCTATATATAACTTTTTTTTTCAATTTGACTCACTTATCATAAAGCATAACCAAATAATCCATGAGCCTGCATCCAACTTCAGAATACAACCAAGTCTCAATTTACCCATTTCTTCTTTCTAGCCAGCTGAATTTATGCCTGAGTTAACAACTTTTAACAAGTTTGTGGCAACCATTCTCCCATCTTTTCTAGTTTCTATAATCATTACTTGAACTTTATGAAAATGACACTACACCGTAACTTTCTAAACCTGTCAATCCTTCCTGTAAGTTCCCAGAGTCACCCCAGAGCAAATCATCCTTCAGAGTCATGTGAAATCTGAAAAGGACCAGATCACAAAGACCTACTTCCTCTCTTCTACAGGGCTCACTATTTTGTTATGAAATGCTACTACTATGAATATTCGTTTAAATAATTCCTGGTATGAATGCATCAGAATTCATATACATAGTACTGGCAAATGGTCACGAGATTAATGGGAACTGCTAATGACCCATCCACCCTGCTGTTGTCACCACCAAACTCACTGACACGTCCTCAAGCTCCCAAGTCACTCCCTTCAAAAGCCACAGCACCAGACATGACTCCAAGGCAGCGTTATTTCACTTGTTTGCCCAAATTAGCTATTTTGAGACAGGTCACAAAGATAAAGTAATACATTAGCCTTCTGCTATAGAGTTAAATCTGACAGAAAATATGACTGATTTATGAATAATTTCCCTCTGTGCATGCAAAAACACACCAACCATCAAAATGAGATAACTTTTGAAAAATAAATGAATTCACTACTCCCCAGAAGGCCAACTCCACACACTCCTCAATTTCCAGCACTCCGAGGCTATTCACTGACAAGGCCGATAGCCCCTATGACGTTACTACCCACTGAACCCTCAGCAAGGCCACAATCCCCTCTGCTCACACATTCAAAGCCTCCCTGCAGTATGCACCCTTGCCACCCCCAACTTCTCTAAAACCTTTCTGGGGGGGATGGTAGGGGAGGAGGGGAGGGAGTGGGAACTGGGATTGACATGTAAAACAATCTTGTTTCTAATTCAAATAAAAAATACAAAAAAAAAAAAAAAAACCTTTCTCAGCAGAATTTGTTAATTTCCTCATTTGGAGAGGGAGGACAGGAGCAGGAACATAACCTCCTTCCTGAATAGTCCTATTTAACCACTAGCATGTCTTGGCTGCTGACACCCTTTTCTTGGAAACCCGGTCTTCACTTGTTTCTAGGACACTACGTTCACTTTCCTGTCCTTTCCCTCACTGGTCTGTTCAGATCTGCATGAAACTTGGAGATTCTATCATCTTCCCTTTCAGGTCACTCACTGTGGTTCGTTTTTTACAAGTCCTTTATCCTAATGCCTACCGTACATGGCTCTAGCATTGTCTCATTACATAAAAAGTCTTTCCGAAGGTACATCTCTCTCTCTTTAGACTGTATATTTACATTTCTCCCTTTAATAATCTCATGCACTCCATGGACTGAAATGATATACTAGCACTGATGAGATGGCTCAGTAGATAAAGGCACCTGTCGCCAAGCCTGAAGATCTGAGTTCAATCAATACCAGAACCTACAAGGTGGAAGGAAAGAACAGACTCCTGAAAACTTGTCCTCTGACCTCCTCCACAAGTGTGCACATGCACACACAAACTAAATAATGTTGTAAGAAAAAAAAAAAAGAAATGCCATCTACCTTGACCACACACAAATTTACATCTGTAAGACCAGAAAGATGACTCAAATGAGTTAAGGTACTTGCTACCAAGCCTACAAGGAGCTCAATCCCAGGATCTACATGGTGAAAGAAGGAATCTGGCCCCTGAAGATGGCACAGGGAGTATGCCATCTCAATACACACATTCAAAACAAAACAAAAAGAAATTATGTATCTAGTGTCAATTCTTCCCTCAAGTCCAGTTCTGTTAACCCCCGTCCCCCTTACGTCTTCATTTGCTATCTACAGAAATGCTGAGCTTCACAAACAAAGGATACTTTCTTCCTTCCCTCCTACATTCAGACTTCCCCATCTCAATGGACGGTTTCGTTCCACTTAGCATGACAAGAACCTTATAGTTACACCAATCACTTTCATATTCCATACACAATTAGAAAACCTAGTTAGCTCAATTTTCCAAAATTACCTACCTGACAACATTGATACCTTCCTGATTCTTGGACAAATCACCTCTCACTGGCATGACCTTGTCTCCACCTTATTCACACCTGGCCTACTGCTACAGCAGAGTGGTGCTGTCTGAATACACCAATCTTCTGCGCAATCTCTACTCTCCCAGTGAAGTTTTCCATCATATGTGAAGTAAAAGTTACAACCCTCCCATGACCTATGAGTAAGAAAAGAACCTCATGAACACAGCTCTCCCAATTACAGTGTACTCCACTCAGATGTACTTGTTGGTCTCTGTAAATATGAAACCTAGAAATACATTCCTAGTTAATAAACTACATTAAACAAAATTCCATTTTAAGTTTTAAATTCAACACTAAAAAGGTAAGCTAATTACAAAGCTGCCTAGAAAGCAAGTCTATGATCTTATGTGATTATTGCTGCAGAATATGTTATCACACTGTGTAAAGTTGTGTCACTGTTTGACCTTGCCTGCCTAAGGCACCAGATTGGTTTAATAAAGAGCCAAGGGGCCAATAGCTAGGCAGGAGAGGTTAGGCTGGTTAGGCGGGATTTCTGGGCAGAGAGAGGAAGAGAGGATGAATCTAGGCACTCGGGAGATGCAGGCAAAGTTGTGGAAGGGATTAAGACATACAGAATGGAGAACAGGTAAAAAGCCACATGGCAGTAATTAGATTAATAGAAGCAGGTTAATTAACTTATAACAGCTGGTTGAGAACAAGCCTAAACTAAAGGACTAGCTTTCGCAATTAAATCTCCATGTCATTATTTGGAAGCTGGTGGTCCCCAAAAGAAAGTCTAACAAAATCCTACTATAGATTACCATTTGTCCATTCATAGTCTCATTCTGAAAACAAAACAAAATAGAAACAATTGGCTAAAACCCTTGATAATTACTTTAAACACATCTTTTCTTATTTTATTCTTAGGAGAACTTTAAAAAATCAGTGGAGGGTAGGGGTAGAAGTAGAGCTGAAGATGTAAAGTACACATAACCAGCATGTAGACAGCTCTAGCACTTGGGAGGTAGAGGCACAAAGACCACAAGTTCAAGGTTATACTTGTCTACACAGTGAGTTTGGGGCCAGTCTAGGGTGAGACCTATATAAGACCAAGGAAGGGAAGGTACTGTGGAGATATCTGATTACACCGTGTAAAGATATATCACTGTGATTGGTTTAATAAAAAGCTAACTTGCCAATAGCTAGGCAGGAGGTATAGGTGGGACTTCTGGACAGAGAGCTCTGGGAAGAAGACAGGGGGAGCAGTCAGCCAGATGCAGAAGAAGAGGGACATGCAGGAGGAGAGGTAAAAGCCACAAGCCACATGGCAGCACATAGATTAATAGAAACACATTAATAAGCACATAGAAACGTGTTAAGTTATAAGAGCTAATTAGAAACAAGCCTAAGCTAAGGCTGAGCTTCCATAATTAATAATAAGTCTCCTTGCCATTTTTTGTGAGCTGACAGCCCAAAGGAAAATCTGTCTACAAGAAGGGGAGATGGGAGAGGGAAGAGGAGCAGGGGAGGAGAGAGGAGAGCTAGGCAGGGGATAAAGACGACAGTTTAAACAAGAGCTTTACCCAGAGATTTTTCTTTTATTTCCCCATAGCTATGAAAAGTATTTCCTCCATTACTTTTCTTAATAATATAAAAATTTTACAGTAGAATAATGAACAAACAAACCCGACTGCTAGGTCAATAAACAAAGATGTCAATTCGTATACAGGGTCCTGACTGCACCACTCATTAGAACACACTGACCTTCCTTCAGGGACCCATGCATAGTGAGTGCCTGCTTTATTATGGGGTCTCTGATAAGAATGTGCTCTTCAAATGAATCTACAATTAGAACTAACACTTGTTTTGTATTATACTTTGACTTTCCACAATCATTATTCTTTGTATTCTGTTTTCATATTTCTATCATTCTTGAAATGATAATTAAAATTTATAATAATTTAAATAAGTAATTTAAAATAATTTACTTGATCACTGACATTCTTAACACTAAGGGAAAAATCATTTAAATAGGGTCACCCTACTCTTCTCTAATTCACTGCTACAAGATAACTCAAAAAGGGAAAGATGCAGTAATACATCTTTCTTTAAAAGTCACCAGACCCCAAACTCTTGAGCAAAATGGTAATTTACTCTGCAGAAGGCATAATCTAAAAGGGGGAGGGAGTTTGTTTACAGTCTGTGCTAAGATTTTACATTTATATGATAACAATTTCTAATACTAAAATACTTATCTCACATCGCATTTGAGACTGCATCTGTCTTAAAATTTAAATGGTTTTTAACATTTAAACATGTAAAATAAAGTTTAAACAAAGACTGTAGAACTAAGGTGTAAAAATTTCAGATAAGGATACAGCCATGTAACACTGGAAGAGCAAACCGATGGACCTAAAAAGAAGATTTACAATGTATTTAGAACTGACACACCTTAAATAATAAACCATGGAAGTTATATTTATGCAAAGGCAATAATACAGATATATAATCATGCAATGAGAGTACATGTAACTTCTAATGTTAGGAAAACGTCTGTAATATTGCAGGTAAGAAGGCTGTGTAATCACTAGGGTTTAAGCAGTCACAGATAAACACCAGTAAAACTACATGAAGCTGCAGACTCCTTCTTAGTCTTAGCCTTTAACTCTTCTAGAAGACACCAACCAGGCTAATGAGGTGCAATCCCAACTACCAAAGAGTAAATAAAATATTCTGCAAATGGCAGAAAACAAATCACTTTTACAAATCTAAGTACCTTGGCTCATTTGTACAACACAGGGTGAAGGCTGGCGTTGAGTTAGGGGTTGTTTCCAACTGGCCTGGAGACTGTGAATAAGAGCTACTGGACAGAGGCCATGTTTGCAGAGGTGACTAATTGGAACTGCTGTCCTGGGGAGAGACTGGAAATGCTACAGGTCTAGAAGCTAGTTATCTTGTCTTGGGCTAGTCCTGCTCTCTAGAACAGCCATTCCTTGCCCATCTCTGTGCCAGAACTAACATTCTGTGGATAATAGATTTAAAAAAACAAAAACACAACTTTTGGGATCTATTAACTTAGCAGATCATTAGTTTCCACTAACTTAAAGGTTAAGAATGTCATCAGATAGCATCCTAAGCCTATAGAAAGGCTTCCTTCCCATCTTGTTATCACTGCCTCTGTGATGTACACACCAATGTATTTTAAACTTGCCTTGATTTATGACTTTCATTGTTCTGCAAAACTATGAAAACTTCAAACTTCTTCCATATTGAAACATAAAATTTGGAGTAACCTAAATCTGTGTTCCCAGGTCATGGTCATTAAAATGTCTCCAGAATAACCCTTTTCCTCCCTTTACAATGAGAGCTGTGGTTTTTACTGAGAGGACTGGTATCCCTTACTTCTACATTATTCATCCAGTACAATTCATTCTAGCTGTCATAGAGAAAGCAATGTTTTTCATTTAAAGTTTCCATTCATGGGGACTGGAGAGATGGCTCAGTGATTAAGAACTAGCTGGTCTTACAGAGGTCCTGAGTTCAATTCCCAGCAACCACACGATGGCTCACAACCACCTGAATTGAGATCTCACACCCTCTTCTGGCCTGCAGGGATATATGCAGACAGAACACTGTATACATAATAAATCTTAAAAAATAAAATAAATAAATAAAAGCTTCCATTCAAAAGTATTACGGTTTGTACCTTAAAGTCCCTAAAGGCTTATGTTTTTAAAAGCTTGGCAACTGGCCAGAGAAGCTCTTGGAATTTAGAAGATACAGCCTAGAGGAAGAAATGGTGATCATTAAAAGCTAACCTTTATGAAGGCACTGTACTCAAGCCTATTCCCCTTTGTTGACTGGCATGTTCTCCTGACTAAAGGCCAAACGCAAAGGAGTCAATAAACAACGGACTGAAAATTCTGAAACCCCTGAGCCTAAACACTTCCTCCTAAGTTCTCTCAGACATCCTAACACAACAGGTTAGACTTCTACACAGAGCAGTAGGAGAAGGCAAGAATGGTCCAGTGTTAATGTGTTACAGTTAGATTACATTAATTACCCACTCCCTAGTGATGGTTAGTCATTTTAACACATTCAAACATATATTACAACAAGGAAAAGATTAATTGGAGTACATTACCTCTGGCTGAGCAGACAGCTCTCTGAGCAGATGCCCGTTCCATACAAACCGCTGATCTGCCTGAGAAAAGTTTTGAAATTTATCTCCAGCCACAGTTAAGTGTCCCCAGATGGAAAACTATACCCATCAATGCCTCCACCTGGTGGCTAATGAGCTTCTCTGACATGTTCCAACAGAACACACTCACTTCAAATCTGTTCCTCCTCTCCCCATTCCTGTCTGCCTCATCATACACACACACGCTCTCTCTCTCTCCTCTCTCTCTCTCTCTCTCTCTCTCTCTCTCTCTCTCTCTCTCTCTAAGTACCCTCTCCCACTTTTCTAGGTAACCACTGGCCAAGAACTGAATCTTTCAGAGTCAACACTCATTTTTTTATCTCCGCTACCACCACCCAAGGACAACACCTGACCAAGCATAGCTTTATTGCACAGCTACTTGGCCTCCATCTTGACCCCACTCCAGCCTGGCCTCCTTGGGGATGAAGGAACTCTACTTTCTGCTGTCCACTCTGTCAGTTCTTCAGTGACTGCCACCTCAGAGCCAAGTCTTTGCTTGGTCTCCCCGGAGATCTGGCAGCTACAATCCATCACAAATACAAAGGAACTTGAGTTTACTCATCTCAGCACATGGACCAAGTAGATAGCACCTTGCTGAACCATATTCCCTCCCTCCTCACACCTAAGGTCATAGGAAATGACTTATAGTGTCATGACCAGTGGAGTATCATGTCTTTTAGTTTGTGTTTCCAATTTGTTTGTGCAACTCATAATTAGTAGTTATCATTGCATAATGGGTGTGATTCATAACTAAATATTTTACAAGTCACTGAAATTAAATAATAACTTGCTGATTCTAAAAAGTATGCCTGGCACACAACAGACACAGGAGAGAAGTCTGATAAACATGTAAGGAGTATAGCAATTGGTTTTAAAAGCATCAGTCTCTTTTGTTTAAAAGCTAAATTTCTTGATTACTTAGTTTATATGTAAATTAACATACAATTTTACTTGATTAAAATGTAAAATCTTAACTCCAAACAGTTAAAGTACTAAATTAGTGAAATTTATAATCATTTTCACTAGTCAAAATGGTCAATTACTGGCAATGTCATACAGATTGCAACCTTTAAAATTCTGTATGCCCTTAAACATGTCCATGGTTTGTTAATTAAAGAAAAAAAATAATAAAGGAAGGAATAGCGGCATGTCTCAGTGGTAGAATGCTTCCTAGTATGCATGAAGTCCTTGTTTTAAGCTCTAGCAACACACACACACACACATACACACACACACACACACACACACACACACACACACACACACACACCACACACACACACCAAACACAGTAAAATAAAAACAGATAAATAAGATCAAGGCAGCAAAAGCCATGTCCCTGAGCAGCAGAAACTCAGTTGAGAACACTGAAAGCTTAGTATTAAAAGTACACTCATGTTAGCCAAACCTGTGGCACAGGCCTTGTAATCTCATCAGAAGGCTGAGGCAAAGGATTCAAAGGTCAAGGCCTTCTTGGGCTACATAGTGAATTCAAGGCCAGCCTGGGAAGCTCAGTAAATTCTGGCATGACAGCATGGGAGCAGAGCAAGAATGAGAGGGAGAGCACACCTCTACCTTCATAACTGGCTCAGATTCCTTAAATCAATAAACTGCTGTCTCTTCTAAAAACAACATCACAATTGACTGGCCATTACCTATTACAACACTGATGCAAAGAAATCACAAATGAACACAATACATAGCTAGCTTGCAGACTTGTCCCCCACGTTTACATTTAATAGCCTGGTAATATTTATGTAAAATTACAAACTCTGGGGTTGGAATGTAGTTCAGTGACAGAGTGCTTGGCTAGAACATGCAAAGCCCTGGACTCAAACTTTATCACTGTATCATGTGTACACGTACACATACATTCTGAAAGGTTTTCACCTAATCATCCGGGTGCATTTCTACTAGATTCTTAAGTATCTATACCAATTTATCACAATCATGGCTGTGTATATACCCAAGGTAGGGCTCTTAGTAAGACCTACGATAGACATTTGAAACACAGTGTGTTTTCAAACCTCACATATGATTCTAATGCATTCACGAGTAAGAAAAGTCAAAACAGGACTGGAGTATGGTCCAATGAGAGGGTACCTGCCTAGCACATGAGGCTCTGAGTTTATCTCCAGGACTGGGGATTGGGGAGTAGGAAAAGAAAAAAAGAAAAAAATGTAAATTTTTATAGATGAAGGAGTCATCCCTCTTATTAAGCAACCTGAAGAAGCAGCTTACCCTTTCCAAGAGACTCATTTCTTGGAATTCTGGACTTGTGTTAGATAGCCGTTGCAAAGTATGCGTCAAGTCATATGTTGTTGAAAAGTAAAATCCATCCATACTCAAGACGTGGTTTAGCATTGCTAGGAAAGTTTTATTATCTTGTAACTGCAAAGAAGAAAAGGGAGAGTTCAATACTGGCAACAGTTGAAAAAAAAATCTGTCAACATGAGAAGACAGGAAAATTAAAAACATCTATGTCCAGCCCCATTAGGTATCAATGACATAAGCACCTGGCCAGAGATGGGGAATACTCTATAAATGCCGTCAATATTGAAACTCATTTAGTATAGGTACAGCCTCCTCCCTTTGGTATCATCCACTCTAAAGCAGGAGAGTTAGGTTTTTGTTTTTTAAGACAGGGTTTCTCTGTATAACCACCCTGGCTGTCCTGGAACTCCCTCTATAGACCAGGCTGGCCTCAAACTCAGAGATCCACCTGTCTCTGCCTCCCAAGTGATGGGATTAAAGGTATGTCCTGCCAACTCTTGGCCAGAGAAGTAGTTTAAGAAAACGCCACCACTTTAGATTACAGCACAGCCTGCAGTGTGCCAATACTTCCCAGATTCTCTCTGTCCTTTACCACCCAGCTTGGGTTTACCATCATTATCCTCATTAGCAAATCAAACACACAGATCAGGAGATTAGCATTATTCTCACTTTCAGAAAATTTCACTGGTTTGAGCTGGATAGCAAATAAAAAAATCATTTTTCATTAAAACCAAGTTTTAAAAGCCTAGTAAATAAATATTTCCTTTATTTTACAATAATTTTAGCTGGCTTTCCCAGTTAAAAACAATATTGACATTTTTTTTAAAAAAGAACTTTTGTCCCAACAAAAACTGTCAAGGTTGTAGTTATTAAATGATTAACATGTAACTTATACATTACAAATGTATATACTATACATTTTTAAATGTAAGCACAGACTAGCAAAAGCAAAAAAAAAAAAGTATTAAACAGCACAAAATTACTTTTATGGCTAGACGACAAATCCAAGAAAATATTCCTGAGTAATTATAATGAGTACAGCTACTTTTATTTCACGTGTGTGTACATATGTGTTGGTGTGCATAACATCGCATGTGTGTGTGAGGGTTGAGTATGGAAGCCAGAGAATGGCCTTAGGTGTTATTACTCAGGACATCATCTATCTTTTTTTATAACTTTTGTTGACTTTATGTGTGTGAGTGGTTTGCCTATATATGTATGTGCACCACATGTGAGTCCAGAGCCAGAGAAAGGCACCAGATCCCCAGGAGATGAAGTTACGGGTGGTTGTAAGCAAGCCACCCTCTGCAAAAGCAACAAGTGCTCTTAACCACTACGACATCTCTCCAGAGCCCATCATCTATCTTTGTGGAATCAAGATTTCTTAGAGCCCTAAACTCATAGACCATTAGAGACTAGCTAGTCTACAAGGCCTAGGAAGTCAACTGTGTCTGTGTCCCTATCATCACCGGGATTATAAGTGTAAGCATCTTGGGTTTTTATGAAGTTCTAAGGATCAAACTCAAGCCCTCATGCTGGCAAGGCAAGTGCTTTTAAAGACTGAGCTCTAAGCTTCATTTTATTTGTTTAAAATATTATTTCTCATGGAGAATGAATATACTATTAGGAAAAGGAAATTCTAAAGTATAAAAAGCCATATATTATAGTTTTACTTGGTAAAACAGTGTTATGACTTGGCATTTTTAAGGTAAGGAATATATTTTTGGAAAAACAAATCTTATAGAAACACACAAGGCATGCTTCTCCCTGAGGAAAATATGGTTGTTGGGGATGGGAGAAACACTTTCTGGCAAGCTGCCCATGTTCCTATGTAAGTAACCCTAATTAAACACATTGGTGTACACACACACACACACACACACACACACACACACACACACACACACAAATCTTCGGAGCCAAGAACAGTAGTGCATGCCTTTAATCCTATTACCCATGGAGCAGAGTAAGGTGGATCTCTCTGAGTTCCAGGCCTGCCAGGGCTACATCGTAAGGCCCTATCTCACCAGCAAAGCAAAACAAAAACAAAAACCCCAACAAAACAAGCAAGTAAACAAAAAAAACTCAGTGTAAAACATTTTTAAAGGCATATGCCGTTACTCCCAGCACTTGGGAGGCAGAGGCAGGTGATACAGAAATGAATACTTTGCATTAATATGGATTTTGGTTTACTGATGCAAATTTAAGGTCAATTTTGTTATATGTATACCTCTATTCTTGTTTAGGTATTGTGTTTATACAACTCTTTTAAAAATGTAATGTATAATTAAATACAGATTGCAGATAGTAACCTATAATAGTCAAAACTTAGGCTTTCTAGATATACAGAGATATATTTCAAATGGATAGGTATTCTTCAAAACCTTTCAAAGACCTACAGAATATGTCATTTAAAATGGTTTGTTAACTTAGGGCTTTTCATGACAATGAGACACACTGCTCTTGAAATACAAATTAAGTCAGAGAGGAAGATGGGCATCGAAGAATGGAGTTTGCCTTCAACATGACAGAAACAGCCATTTGGACAAGAAACTACTTTTGCCTGAACTGCTTGACAGCATGCTGTCCAAACTGGACAAGAAGGTTACAAAGAAAAATGACTTACAAACTGCCAATACGTGGGACAGTTTCAAATTCCCTGCTTTGCTAAGAAGTCTGACAGACATTCTAGGTCTATAGGCTAAAGATGGATGTCCTAATGTTACAGAGGAACTTTGGGTGACTGTCCAGAAACTGTCAATTCTAGAGTTTATATATTATCCTTCTGGGGTCTTTGATGGAGTTGAGGACAGATAGTTAAGGTTTTCCTTAGCTATGATAAAAGATAAGTTACATATTAAACTTTAGACTCACAAAGACAGGATAGATGATAGAATATTTTCTTTCAATTTTGCCAGATGTTAATGGACTAAATATTGTTAACTATAATTCTTGCTTGATAACTGTTTTGTTATATATAAATTTTACTATGTTAAAGTTAAAATCTTTTTATTTTCAGAAAAGAGGAGATGATGGGGATGTCATTCTGTATGCTGTGAATGTTTCTCTTGCTTCAGTCTCTAAGTGCTAGAACTGCAATCGTGTGTCATTATACCCAGTATTTGGTGCATTATAATTACAACTATCAGAAACATGAAAATTGAAACCTGAGCAGCATCTGTAACATGATGTACATTATGTAAAAAATGTAAATTATGATTGGAAATATCTGACACTGGTAAATGTAACAAACATTTCTGAGTCTAAATGAATTTTTATCCTTTTATTTTATCCTTTGCACTTTGAATGTGTGGCAGTTTCTTTAATAAAAAGTGTGTTGCAATTATCCCTCGGCTCTTCCTTTCTGTCAGAGCTACTTCACTGTGACGGCAACTTCACTACCACCTCTGGCTTTGTACCCAGTGCCTAGACTGGTGACCACTTATGTTCCCATAGTCAAACTACTCTATGGCTCCATTATTATGTCCAATCTCAAATTACTTTCAGAGTTGCCATTTGTTTGCACTTTAACCTTTGCTAAGTTACTTCTTTGGTTAATATACCATGGTCACTAACACTTACTATATGTTGTTAGGGGTCTAGTGTTAACTAAACCAGGTAATTGTTCTGTACATACACACACACACATATATTCTCTCTCTCTCTCTCTTTCTCCCTCTCTCTCTCTCTCCCTCTCTCTCTCTCTCCAATGTGACTAACAGTGAAGAAACTTTCTTCTAGAAGAAAAAAGGAATGAAAAACAATTTCAAAAGTATCTAATATTTTATTTTTCTATAGAAAATATGAAGCTAAGGTTGGGTATTGAGTTCTTGGTCATTCTATTTGTCCTTTTTTCTCTATAAGAACTCCATAATTTAAATTTTTCATTATTTAAAATTAAAACCAACAAAATATTAAATATTTTTAACTGATTTTTTTTTTTTAATGTGCATTGGTATTTTGAGTGCATGTGTGTCTATGAGAAAGTGTCAGATCCCCTGGACCTGGTGTTACAGTTGTGAGCTGCCATGGGGTTGCTGAGAATTGAACTTGAGTCCTCTAGAAAAGCAGGCAATGCTCTTAACCACTGAGACATTTCTCCGGCCCCTTAAAAATCATTTTTTTACAGATAGGTAGAAAGCTAGTAGAATAATATCATTTACAAGTTATTTAATAACTGGGTTTATAAGAAATCCATCTACATTTACGACCCCATTCCATGAGACTTTCTAAATTCTTACCTGAATATCAGTCAAGTGCAACATTGTCTTCTTATAAGAAAGAACATCAAAATCTGTGGCTCTCCAGATTGCATGATTAAAAAATTCACCTACTTTCACCTTTTTGGTAATGACAACAAGATAATTACCTGCAAAAAAGAAAAAAGAAACCAAACAAATGCAATTTTTTTTTTTTAAAAGGGAAGTGGGGCTAGGGTTTGTAAGATCAGGGGTGGGGTCTATGCTCAGCATGTATGAGGTGGCCCTGGGTTGGAGTCCTAGCATATCACAAAAACCAACAAACAGAAATCACAAAGTAATAGCCTTTATCTGTAAACTTAAAAGCCTGGCAAAATGAGACTGCATTGAGCTACTCAGATAAGAGGTCCATATTTTTAAAGCATTAAAATTTATGAATATAAAGAATAATATCAATTTTTTTCTCAAGAAGATAAAAGTAAACCTTTTGATAACCAAAGAATTGAGCTTAGCTGGCAGAAAGTTGAGACAGAAAATATTTTTTTCCAAGCTTGTGCCTTGAAACACCAGAAGTCTCAAATGTAACCAGGGCAGGGAGGGCAGTCCTCTCTACACTACTCCTTTGTCCTGATCACTCTAAATGGTGGGCAAATGTGCTGGGGCAGTATACCTAACTAGATACTTTGAATTCACAATTGACTACTAGTTAGAAATCAACACCATGACAGCCTATGCACAATACACCAATCTTTACTCTGCCCAACCTCCAACCCCCTTCCCTGATCACTAAACACAGTCGCCTCCCTCCCTCACTCTTTCTTTTGTGAAACTGAGGACAGAAGCTGGGATCTTACACGAGAGGTACACACTACCACCAACCTATATTCCCAGATCTCCTTATATTAATTCTTAAGATCTGGTCAATGCTCTACCTCCAACTGCCCTGCCTAGCTTTTCCTGTATATAAAACTTTCTTAGAAGCTGTAACACTGTTACAATATCTTATTACTTGTATACCTCTTGTCAGTAGACTGTGAACTGTAAGAAAATGGAACATCTGAAATCTTTTGTAACTTGCACCTTGCATAGTGACTTAAGTAAAAACAAAACAAAACAAGAACTTTTTAAAAGTTCAATAAAATGAAACTCAAATAAAAATCAACCTTTTTGCACATGTCTATAATCCCAGTACTCAGGAGGCCAGGCTTGAATATAGCATGAGTTCAGGGACAGCTATTAATATAGATTAAAACCACGGAAATGTTAAATAAACAAATAAATACCTTAATAACTCAAACCAAGTATCATACTGTTACATATACTGTCATATTGGCACAAGGTTGAAGTTATACAATGATAAATCAATGCATTTATTTTTTTTAAATGGTTCATGTTTTTAATCCCAGCACATGGAAGGCAGAGGCAGGAGAATCTGTGTGAGTTCCAGGACAGTCTGATCTATGTAGCAACTTCTAGGACAGTCAGTACTACACTGAAAAACCCAGTCTCAAACAAAAATTAAAGGTTCTTAGAATTTAGGAGATTTCAAATCTAGTTAGAATAAAATCAAACATGAATTTTTTCTTTTAAAAAGAATACTTCAGGCTGGGCAGTGGCACAATGCCTTTAATCCCAGTACTTGGGAGACAGAAGCAGGTGGTTCTCTGTGAGTTCAAGGCCATCGTGGTCTACAGAGGTAGTTCTAGGATACCCAGGGCTACAAGAGGAACCCTGTCCCTAAAAACCAGAACAAAACGAAAGAATACTTTAGGGTGATAAATTTAACTGTTTAGAGAACATTATTTTTAGAAACTAAGGACAAATTCCTAACCTAGAGATTTACCTAAAGAATGACAGGAAGAACACTTTTTCTCGTATCTAATGTTATCAATTTAATGACCTTCTTGGTGCTCTTACCTGCCACCAGATGGATTGTGCCCAGTATCCCAAATATTGGTCTTGTAACAGCTGAAGGAGGGACATCTTTTTTGACTGAAAAAGGAAGAAGATAATATAGAAAAGCTCACCATCAAAATAGAAATTTAGTTTGAGTAACTTCAAGTATATCAATTTGTACAATTTATTCTATAAAAAACTAGCATTTTTCACTAACATTAGACTTCCATTCCTGCAGAGCATAAAATATAGATGTATGATATTAAAAGAAGATGGTTTCAAAAACAACATACTTCAGCTTCCTCATCAGTAAATTGTGAGTAATTACTAACATTGTCAGAAGACTAAGTACTATCTATCCCTTTAAGAATAAGTAGAAGTAAGGGTTTGAGACAAGAATATCATCTCACATAATACTAACGGAATATGAAACTAGAACTGCCCATCCATGTCCGAAATTCAAGAAAAGAAAGGAAGAAAAAGCATTCTTCTCCTGTGTCAAGCAACAATGTACATAGGTGGGTAAGAACCCAGGTTTATATAAATGATGTCCATTATCAATAAAATTGTATCTTAGAGAATGCATTTCACAATTGTTAAACTTTCAACCAGTATGTTTCACAGAACACACTTTGTAGTATTCTTGTTTAGAAAATAATGCCCCAAAAGCAGCTGGGAGAATTCCTGCCGGACCAATGGCCAGGCAGAATATAGCTAGGCGGGACACAGTTACGGAGAAAAAGGTGGAGTCAGGGAGACGCCATGTAGCTGCTGAAGGGGTAAATGCCGAGCATTAATGGTAAGCCACAGCCTCCTGGCAATACAAAGATTAGTAGAAATGGATTAATTTATAAGAGACAGCTAGTCAGTAATATGTCTGAGCCACTGACCAAACAATTATAACTTAATAATAGACTTGGAGTGATTATTTCATAAGTGGCTGTGGGGACCCAGTAGGCAGGAGAGAAACTGTGGCAGTGGAGTCGGTTGAGACAGAATAACATTCAACTACAGTTTTGTTTGATTCTAATTCAAATACCACTATTTCATCTCCTACACAGTCACATGAGAACAGAACTCTGAGGGACTGACAATAAAAGAAAGCAGTCACTCTCTAACACAAGGTTCTCCAAATTTATGTGGCTAGAAAACTTTATTTTACTAAGGTCTTTTTTTTCCAGCTTTCTTTTGACTTATTATCAACCTGAATCTCACTACTGTAAATTCAAGTCCTGATCCTTCAGCTCTAGAAATGAGTTTAGACACCAAAATGAAACCTATCAGAATACAGATAAGGACACACAGAAATTCTGGCCTATATAGTCCTGGTAACACACACCTATACTCTCGGCACTTGGGAGGAAAAGGCAGGAGGATCCCGAGTCTGGGTCCACCTAGGCTACATAATGAGTTCTAATACAGCCTGAACTATACTGAGCAAAACCCTTTCTCAAAAGACACCTACCCCCAAATTAACTGAGGTAGCAAGAATTAGGTTTTCTAGTAAGAAGGCACTCAAAGAGCCTCATAATGATGTACCACCGACAGTCTTAATTACTGTAATCTCCGACCTGAATATTTCTGAGAATCTCGAAAACTAGCTATACAGACCTGCAAGGGTGACCTCTGTAGACACTCGGTCAATGGTGAGTACATCATCTGCTCCATCATCACAAGCTTCCACATAAAACTTTTCAGGTGTAATATGCCTAAGAAGAAATTGACAGGCATAAATAAGTCAAATAAAACCAGGCCTTAAAATTTTATTACAACAGAGTTTAATAAAATTTTCTAAACAGATGGCACTGCTAAGTTCACTATCCTTTTGAATTTGCTGCAATTCTTTCCACTTGTGTATTTAATGCTGTTAAGATTTTAATTTGCGGCTGGGTGTTGGTGGCGCACGCCTTTAATCCCAGCACTCGGGAGGCAGAGGCAGGCAGATCTCTGTGAGTTCGAGGCCAGCCTTGTCTCCAGAGCGAGTGCCAGGATAGGCTCCAAAGCTACACAGAGAAACCCTGTCTCAAAAAACCAAAAAAAAACAAACAAACAAAAATTTAATTTGCTATAAAGCCATCAATTCAAATCACTTAAGAAAATAATAATCTTCTCTAATGTATTACCTTCTGCATCATAAAGAAGGCAATACGGCATGATAATGGCAGAATGTACAGGGGCAGACTATGAGCTGTGAACCATAGGCAAATAATTCATCTTTTCACATTTCCCTTACAATAAGGGAATCACCACATGTACAGCATGAATTAAATAAGTCAGTTTTTTGGTACATAGTGCTTATTAAACACACAGATATATGATGTTGTATTAAGAGCTGGAGATATTGTTGAGTGGACGAGTACTTGCCTTGTACAAGGCCCCAAAAGTTGGATCCCCAGGATTAAATTTTTTAAATATATAACTAAAACATATTAGTGTTAGCTAAAAATACTAAATTGTCTAAAATAAATTACTTAAACATTTGCTTTATGTATACCTTCCTGAAAAAAAAAAAACCTTTCATTTCATAAAAAAGACAATAATAAAAGGAACAAAAAATAGGAACCCACTTTGGTACACAACTTTGTACCCAAAGTCTAACAAACAAACAAAACAAAACAAAACAAAAACAGTTGGTTCCTCAAGAGGTCAACTAGATACATCTGCCAAGCAACTCAGTGTGGTTAAGGACTAACTCAGGAAATGAGAAGAACTGACAAACAAGGAGGTAAACATGAAGCAGACCTTAACTCACAAAGTGAGGCTGCTGCCACTGCAGGCAGGGTCCCCCACCCCACCCAATCTTCATTGTTGATTCACCAGACTTCAGAGTTTTGTGTGTGATAGCAACCTTGGGCTTTTCTACCCCATGATTCTGCCTCACTTTGTCTATCAAAGACTTTACACAAATCCACACAGCCATCTCTGACATTAATCTCCTATTTACCTCAGTTATCTAGTGTTACAGAGATGTAGTATACTGTAAACTCACTGTTTCTGACTGAGTTTTCTGAGAAATAGCCAATCCTTGATTATTCAAATATAACTAACATCTATTTACAGGTTATTAATAACTAAATTATTAATATGAGACTAAGTTCTTTCATTTTAAGGAGTATTCTGAGAGAATGAATGTCAAGCAAAACAAAAAGAAAGCAAATCTGTTTCAAACGTCAATATTTAGTAATTTATTCCCTTTTACCACCAGATCTATTTCACTGAATGCTCACATCACCATTTCTTCATTCCCTTTTGATAGGTATTTGGGCTGGTTTTTGGCTTTAGGGTTTTTAGTAATGAAGGTACCATGAATGAACTTAAACATTCAGCCAGTGTGCTCCATTCTACTGAGTAACTGCCCAGAGTGCGATGTTCAGGCCCAACCATGTGTGTTTAACTTGTACTGAGGAAGGAGAAAAATGGAAGACTGCACAAGAAAACTTTCTGGGGTGGTGGATGTGTTCTGTATCTTAACCCCAGCAGTGATGGCATAAAAATCTCAACATTTACCAAACTATATATTTTAAATATGTGTCATTGGCTACATGAACTAAATGCCAATATTTAATGAATATTTATAATAAAAAGAAATATTTATAATAAAAAAAGCAAAGAAGTCCTAAAGCAAACAAAGGACTTTGTGGTAGTTTGAATGTAACTGCCCCATAAGCTCATAGGGGGTGGCACTATTTATTAGGACATGTAGATTTGTTGAAAGGAGGTGTAGCCTTGTTGGAGGACATATGTCACTGTGGGGATAGGATTTGAGGTCTGTTTTGCTCAAACTTCGATCAGTGTGACAGACCACTTCCTGTTGCCTACAAGATGTAGGGCTCTCAGCCACTTCTCCAGCTCCATGTCTGCCTGTAGGTTGTCATGTCCTATCATGATGATAATGGACTGAACCTCTGAAAGCTAAGCAAGTCACCCCAATTAAATGTCTTCCTTATAAGAGTTGCAACAGTCAGCCAGGCGTTGGTGGCGCACACCCTTAATCCCAGCACTCAGGAGGCAGAAGCAGGTGGATCTCTTCGAGTTCTAGGCCAGCCTGGTCTACAGAGTTCCAGGACAGCCAAGGCTATTACACAGAGAAACACTGTTTTTTTTTTTTTTGGGGGGGGGAAGAGTGGCCATAGTCATGATGTCTGTTAACAGCAAGAGAAACCCTAAGACAGACTTCCAGTTTATTTTATCATAAGGTATGGTATACCAATCTTGTTTAAGGATTAAGTGAAACAGCATGTATAAGCTCTTGGGCACAAGGAAAAGACATCTGTGTTCTTAATTAAGCCTGGGATGGCAATGCTCACAGAACAGTTGGAGTCACACAAACATTTTTCGAAGCTTTCCTCAGTGTGACACTGAATTCACTTCCTGTTGCTTTGTGGGTAGTAAAGCTGACTCATAGAGACAGCAACTTTCTTTCTGAGACACTATGCTGCTCAGGCCAAGCTGAACATGAATCTGTGGTCCTCCTGCAGCTAGAGTAGCTTTTTATAACTACTACATCTTTTAAAAATCTTATGTGTGCGTACACCTGTGCCACAGCATTCAAGTGTAGGTAAGAGGATAATTTCAAATGCCAGCCCTAACCTTCCATCTTGTTTAGGACAGGGTTTCTGTTGTTATTCCACATACCAGTTAGCTGGTCTGTAAGCTTCTGGATGTTCTCCTGCCTCTGCCTTCCAATTCACTAACGGAGCATTGGAATTACAGACAAACACTACTGTGTTGGTTTTTCACGGGTTCTGAGGATCTGAACCTAAGTCCTCACTCATACGGTGTGGTGGTTTGAAAGTAAATGATCCCCAAAGGGAGTGGCACTATTAGGAGGTGTGGCTTTGTTGGAGTAGGTGTGGTCTTGTTGGAGCAAGTATGTCACTGTGGGGCGGGCTTTGAGGTGTCTCTTTGCTCAAGCTTCCCTCAGTGTGACACTGAATCCACTTCCCGTTGCTTCTGATCAAGATGCAGCCAGCACCATGTCTGCCTACATGCCAAATAATGAACTTAACCTCTGAAACTGTAAGCGAGCCACCCCAATTAAATGTTTTCCTTTATAAGAGTTACTGTGGTCATGGTGTCTCTGCACAGCAACAGAAACACTGAGACATACAGCAAGCAGGTTACCCACTCAGCCACTCAGGCCACAAGGTAACATCCTTTAACACAAGAGAAAACCTGCACATTCATAATAGAACTCCTAACATAACACCAAAAAGTTATTCAATTAATCCTTTAAAGAAATACTAAATAGATGATATTGGTATTTTTGCCACACAGAAACATCTAAATAATTTAATTTTGAAAGAATAACACTGGCTGGAAGGGGATGGGGGTTTTAGTATCCAGGATTCTGTACTGGCCTGTCCTTGGGTTCTGACAGGATAAGTCCTCAGCTGCAGCCACTAAGAGCACCAGCTGTGCACATTCACCAAGCTCACTTTTAATAGGGCCCTGTCTCCCTCTCTCTGTCTCTGACCCTCGTCCTCCCTCCAGCTGCTGCTGTCTCTAGAGGCTGGTCTCCCTCCTCCCCTTTTCCCTTTTTATGATCCCTTTGCCCCAAAACAAACAAACAAACCCTCTGCTTGAACCCGTCAGCCGCATGGTGTCTTTCTCTGAGCACTGCTTTTCTTAAATTACAACAGGGGTGGGGGGTGAGGGGATGGTACATGCTTTTAATCCCAACACTCAAGAGGCAGGGGAAGTCGGATTTCTGTGAATTCAAGGCCAGCCTAATCTACAAATTGAGTTCCAGGACAGCCAGGTCTATACAGAGAAACCCTGTCTGGAAACCACCCCTGCCAAAAGAATAACACGGGAATCAAGTTACATCCAACTCACACATACCATCTGAACATATAACTAAGACACAAGAACAGTAACATACTGGCTACATAGCTAAGCATTAATTTATATCTATCCTCAGTTGTGTTTAAATGATTTTTATTATATGTATAATTACTCCAATAATGATCATTCTAAAAGAAAAAAAAAAAAACCCTACACCTCACATTTTAACCCTGCAGGAAAAAAAATCAATCTGTCCTACTCGCTTAATACTGAAAGGCCCCAAATACTGATTTCCAACTTATCTGGATCAAACTTATACCAATAGAAACCTACACGTTTCCAAGAAACATTCTTCAAATCAGAATATATATGTATGTATGTATGTATGTATGTATGTATGTATGTATTTCAAAGAAACCAGAGCCATTTCTTAGGAGTAAACCCAACTTAAAATATCAAGGTCACATAAAACAATGCTCTGATTTATTAACCACCGATGTTCTAGACCAGTGGTTCTCAACCTTCCTAATGTCGGGACCCTTTAATACAGTTCCTCATGTTGTGGTGAACCCCAACCATAAAATTCTTCCATTGCTACTTCATAACAGTAATTTTGCTACTCTTATGAATCAATGTAAATATCTGATATATAATATATCTGATATGCAATCCCAAGGGGGTCTTGACCCACAAGTTAAGAACTGCTAGAGTATTAAAAACTTGTTTGGCTAGTGAGATAGCTCAGCTGTTAAAGTGCCTGTCACCAAGCACGATGACAGAAATTTGATCTGTGTGATAGTTTGAATGTAACTGGCCCCCATGATCCTGAAGGGAGTCACACTACTAGGAGGTATGGCCTAGCTGAAGTAGGTGTGGCCTTGTTGGAGGGCATGTGTGACTATGGGGGTAGGCTTTGAGGGCTCCTTTGCTCAAGTTTCACTCAGTGTGACACTCAGGTCATCTTCCTGTGGCCGGCACCA